GGCTAATTTTTGTATTTTTAGTAGAGACAGGGTTTCACCATGTTAGCCAGGCCAGTTTCAAACTCCTGACCTCAAGTGATCAGCTTGCCTCGTTCTCCCAAAGCGCTGGGATTACAGGCGGAAGCTACCACACCCAGCCTGTACTTGACTCTCTGAAACCATTGTTCTCCTGCCATTGTAGTCAAATTTGCTTTAGGCACTTGGTGCTGTTTGCTGACTCCAAGCAGGATATTCATCTGTCTAGTCCCATCATATGCACTGCAAAACCCTGACTAGCAAAAAATATGACTATATTGTATATATGCGCTATTAAATTATAACCGCAAGCCCATATGTCTACAAGCAAACCCGACTGTCACTCTCAGAGTGATTAGCTGTTTGTTTCCTGCTTTCTGCATTAATATTCTTGTACCATTTGTTCATTTGTTTTATCTGGCTGATTGGTAGCTGACAATGGAAGCTTGCACTGAAAGTCTAAAGAAAATATATATGGGAATGAGAACATTTTTTGTTAAATTATATATTTTTCTAAATATTAGGAAGGATTGTCATTAATCTGGTGGTAACTCCTGGGTCTGGCTTGTGGCACATCAGTATTTGCAGAGGACAGAATTCAAGAAACCCTGGGTCTGCACAGTGGCTCATGGCCAGCATGTTGGGAGGCTGAGGTGAGATTGCTTGAGCTTAGGAATTTGAGATCAGCCTGGGTAACATAATGAGACCCTGTCTCGATAAAAAATACAAAAGAAAAAATTAGCTGGGCATGGTGGTGTGCATATGTAGTCCTGGTTGCTCATGAGGCTGAGGTAAGGCAACATTAGAGCCTGAGAGTTTGAGGTTGCAGAGAGCTGTGATCGTGCCACTGCGCTCCAGCCTGGGCAACAGAGTGAGTCCCTGTCTCAAACAAAAACAAACAAACAAACAAACAAAAAAAAAAAAGATCACTAGGTCCGAAGTGAAGGTGTAAAAACAAATGCAGTGATGTCTGTGAAGCTTAGCAAAAGGGTGTTATTATCCTGGGCTTGGATCACTGTGATTATGTAGGGCTGTGCATTTATCTGTTCATTTGGAAAGCACCTGCTGTGGGTGAAGCCAAGCCGTGCTGTCTGCTCTCTCAGGCTTTCCGCCCTGCTGTCCTCTCTCGGGCTTTTTGTCTCCACTTACTCTTATTCATCCTTCAGGGCTCATGGGTTACCTACTCCAGGAAGCCTTCCCATCCCTCCCATCTCCTTTCAAGGCACTTATCCCACTGAAATGGGTGGTTCTGTGTTATGTTTGGTTTGTTTTTACCAGGTAGCGTAGCATTTTTATTAAATGGGGTAAAATGTACATACAGAAAATTATCATTTTAACCATTTTTCAGTGCAGTGTTCAAGGGGATTAAATACATATTCACTGTTGTCTGCCATCACTAACATGTGTCTCCAGAACTTTTCATTGATCCTAACGGAAACTGTACACCCGTTGGATGCTATCTCCCCTCCTTGGCCCCTATGCTACTATTCTACCTTCCATCTCTGTGAATTTGACTATTCTTAGTACCTCATGTAACTGGAGTAACACAGTGTTTGTCCTTTTGTGAGTAGCTTATTTCACTCTGCATAATGTGTCACGGTTCACCCATGTTCTGGCATGTGCTACGATTTTCTTCCTTTTTAAATGTGAATAATATATTCTACATTATGCTTATCCATTCATCCGTGGATAGATTGCTTCCACCTTTTGCCTATGTACTGTGAATAATGTTGCTATGAATATAGGTGTACAAATGTCTATTTGAGTCCTTGCTTTCAATTTAGGTATATACTTAGAAGTGGGATTGCTGGATCGTATGGTAGCTATATTTTTCCTTTCTTTGCTGTAGACATGGGGCACTGCCCTATCTATGCCATAGGCCACTATTCAGATGCAGTGGGATGGCTAGTTGGTGTCCCCAAGGGCATTCAGTGCAGCAGCCTTCACCTCCCCCAGCAAACCTGGCACACAGAAGTAGCGCAGCAAAGATTTGCTAAATGAAGGATGTTTAGCAAGGGAGACCATTAGTAAACAAATAACTACAGTAAATCCAAGTGTTTTGTAAGAATGTACAAAATGTGATAGTAGGTAAAGGGAACAAAAACTTCTAGGGAACAGAGCCAGGAAGAACAGGCCATATTTTTTCAATGTTTTCTCTGAAATAACAAATTGCAGATGTTTATGAAATCTCCAAAAATCGTTCCTATTATTTAATAAATAAGTGCTCATTCTGAAAATTCCAAGCATTACCAAAATGGGCAAGGCAGAAAATGGAAGCCCGCCCACACTGTTAACAGTGTGACATAGACTCTTCTAAGAGGCTTTTAAAATAAGTTTTCAGGCCGGGCGCGGTGGCTCAAGCCCGTAATCCCAGCACTTTGGGAGGCTGAGGCGGGTGGATCACGAGGTCGAGAGATCGAGACCATCCGGGTCAACTTGGTGAAACCCCGCCTCTACTAAAATACAAAAAATTAGCTGGGCATGGTGGCACGTGCCTGTAATCCCAGCTACTCAGGAGGCTGAGGCAGGAGAATTGCTTGAACCCAGGAGGTAGAGGTTGCAGTGAGCTGAGATCACGCCATTGCACTCCAGCCTGGGTAACAAGAGTGAAACTCCGTCTCAATAAATAAATAAATAAAAATAAGTTTTCAGTATGTCTTTATCCAGGCATGATGGCTCACACCTGTAATCCCAACACTTTGGGAGGCCAAGGCAGGAGGACTGCTTGAGCCCAGGAGTTCGAGACCAGCATGGTCAACATGGCAAGACCCTGTCACTACAAAAAAATATAAAAATTAGCCAGTTATATTGGGGTGTACCAGCTACTCGGGAGGCTGAGGTGGGGGGATCATCTGAGCCCAGGAGTTTGAGGCTGCAGTGAGCCATGATCGTGGGTGACAGAGTGAGACCCTGTCTCAAAAAAAAAGTGTCTTTGTGAAAGTGGGAAAATTACTAGTATGATATATTCTACACATCTTGAGGGGTGAGGGAAAAGCTTTTGTTTGTACAAGTGGAATTCTGTTAAGAAAAGCTGCCATTCACAGAAATGAAACTGAATCCCTTTGTTTTAAATATTTTTTGGCCAGGCATGGTGGCTCACGCCTATAATCCCAGCACTTTGGGAAGCCACGGCCTGAGGATCACCTGAGGTCAGGAGTTTGAGACCAGCCTGGCAAACATGGTGGAATCCAGTCTCAACTAAAAATACAAAATTTCGCCAGGCATGGTGGTGCATGCCTGTAAACTCAGCTACTTGGGACGGTGGGGCAGGAGAATCACTTGAATCTGGGAGGCAGAGGTTGCAGTAAGCCGAGATCGTGCCACAGCAGCCTGGGCAACAGAGAAAAAAAAAAAGATATTTTATAAGTTGCTATTTATGATCCTTTTTACAGTGACTCAGAATTACTAAGAAAATAAAATCTATTTCTTGTTTCCTAATAAAGTATAAGACCACACAGATTGGTGGTCAGTACGCATTTAACAAGATTCATTAGGGAGTTCTGCCTTTGCTTCAGTTAAAAGACTCAATTTTTAAAACCTATGATGGCAGACTCGAAATACGGAAGGAAGGGTACAAATGTTATTTATTAAAACACATGTTAAGTCTGATTTAATATGAATCTATTTTTATTTTATTTTTATTTTGTTAGAGACAGGGTCTCATTCTGTTGCCCGGACTCGAGTGCAGTGGCCTAATGCCTAATCATAGCTCACTGCAGCCTCAGACTGCTGGGCTTAAAGGACCCTCCTGCCTCAGCCTCCTGAGTAGCTGAGACTACAGGCACGTACCACCATGCCCAGCTAATTTTTTTTTTCTCAGTTGTAGCATATACCTTTGCAAATATGCCCAGCTAATTTTTGTATTTCTATTTTGTGTAGAGATGAGGTCTCGCTCTGTGGCCCAGGCTGGTCTTCAACTCCTGGGCTCAAGCAGTCCTCCTGCTTCAGCCTCCCAAAGTGCTGAGATTACAGGCATGAGCCACCACGCCAAGCAATTTATCTTTAAATAAGCTGTTGGCTCCCTTTAACATAACTGTTTTCTGTAATTTCATATTACCTAGACTATTGAAAAGCACCTTCTTAGAAACTGACCCATAGAAGACTTGATGTTTGATTTGTGACTTTGGCCAGCATTGTGGGAAGGATCTTTTTTTTGTTGTTTTTTGAAACAAGGTCTCGCTCTGTCCCCCAGGCTGGAATGTAATGGCACAATCATAGCTCACTGCAGCCTTGACTTCCCAGGCTCAAGCAATCCTCCCACCTCAGCCTCCCAAGTAGCTGGGACTACAGGTGTGCACTACTACGCCTGGCTAAATTTGTATTTTTTGGTAGAGACAAGATCTCCTTATGTTGCCCATGCAGGTGTTGAACTCCTGGTCTCAAACCATCCTCTTTCCTCGGCCGTGGGAAGGATCTCTTGATGGGCAAAACCTTAAAACTTTCTGTTAGTTGTCTGACAGATGAGGCTAGCTCTCGCTTATGTAAATCATGGTGGCTGCATAAATAAAATTCACAGATAAATCACCAAACTTATTTACCTTACACGTTCTTTTCTAGGGCTGCCAGCAAAAAATCAAATATATTAATACTTAATGGTATTTATAGAACAAAGTGAGGTCCAAAAATAAAGTCCTGAACTCTCTGCTTGCCTCAGTGTACCCAGGCTTTGAAGAAGGAGGATAGGCAGGACAAGGCAGTATAATTACGTAACAAAATGACTAGAAGTCTCTGAAGGGGAAAGAAGAAAAGGAGTTTAATTGATCTGCAAACTAATTAACTAGGCCCTACCCAAGCACGATATAGCAGGCAAAATCAAGAAACAGTAGCAACCGGATACTGAGCCCCGAGCACACTGAGACCAATATAAATACATGTTTTTCAGGTTTAAAGTCATCAATCTTTTGCTCTAAAATGCCCCATCCTTTTTTGATCCTTAGTAAGAGACGGCAGCTTCATTAGATTGATTTTTCTCCTCCCTGTCACAGACAGTATAACAAACTGCGAAACCTGCTGAAGGATGCCCGTCGTGATTGCATCCTCTTTGCTAATGAATTCCAGCAATGCTGCTATCTGCCTCGGGAAAGAGGAGAGTCCATGGAGAAGTGGCAGACCAGGTATGACCCTGACTTGCTGTGGTTTTCTTTTTTTTTTTTTTTTTTTTTTTTTTTTTTTAGACGGAGTTTCACTCTTGTTACCCAGGCTGGAGTGCAATGGCGCGATCTCGGCTCACCGCAACCTCCGCCTCCTGGGTTCAGGCAATTCTCCTGCCTCAGCCTCCTGAGTAGCTGGGATTACAGGCACGTGCCACCATGCCCAGCTAATGTTTTGTATTTTTAGTAGAGACGGGGTTTCACCATGTTGACCGGGATGGTCTCGATCTCTCGACCTCGTGATCCACCCGCCTCAGCCTCCCAAAGTGCTGGGATTACAGGCTTGAGCCACCGCGCCCGGCATTTGCTGTGGTTTTCATACCGTCGTCTTCTTTCATTTCCTCATCATTTGCTGTTTGGGAGTTCATCTGAATAGTATGCTACACTAAACGAACAATTATTCTGGAACCATGATTAACACCGAAATGCTTACCATGTCAATATTTTAGATATATCATTTAAATGCATAACTGATATATATATACTTTTAAATTGTAGTTAGGAAGATTTAGGTACCCAGAGTATGTTCGCCCCAGACCCTAGCAGCTAACAGGATCATTCCAGTGACCTAGAAGTCATAACTTTAATATGTGTATGTATGCGGAAGGCAGGCTTTGTTTTGTTTTTTGGGGGGGTTTTGTTGTTGTTGTTGTTGTTGTTTGTTTGTTTTTCCTGAGCCTGGGTTTTTTGCTTTGTCACCCAGTCTGATACAGTGGTATGATCACAACTCACCATCTGGGCTCAAGTGATCCTCCCACCTCAGCCTCTCAAGTAGCTGAGACCACAGGCATGTGCCACCACAGTCGGCTAGTTTTTGTATTTTTTGAAGAAATGGGGTCCCAGTATGTTGCCCAGGCTGGTCTTGAATTCCTGGGTTCAAGCAATCCGCTCGTCTTGGCCTCCCAAAGTGCTGGGATTATAGGTGCCAGCCACTGTGCCTGGCCAGGCTCCTACTTCCAGTCTTACTCAACTGAAACTGGTCATTTCATTCTGAAAATGCTGCTTCAGGAAAGACAGTGTCCTGGTTTAAGTCTGCCTAAAAGCAGAGCCTAAAGCAAGCCCTTGAATGTGGAGTGTTTATGTGGAAAGCAATTCCCAGAAGCAGGAGTAAGGGAGCAGGGAGAGTGAGATCAAGACAGAGGGAAGATGGTGAAGGACGTGCTGCAGCTGTGGGGAACAAAGGCTATATGAGTGCTGCTGAGGAGCCACACGGAATGTGCCTCAGAAGTTACCTTGAAAGCTGGGCACAGTGGCTCACGCTTATAATCCCAGTACTTTGGGAGGCTGAGGCAAGAGGATCAGGAGGTTTTGTTTTTGTTTTTGTTTTTTTGAGACAGTCTTGCTCTGTCGCCCAGACTGTAGTGCAGTGACATGATCTCGGCTCACAGCATCCTCTGCCACCCGGGTTCAAGCGATTCCCCTGCCTCAGCCTTCTGAGCAGCTGGGACTACAGGTGTGCGCCACCATGCCTGGCTAATTTTGTGTGTGTGTGTGTATTTTTAGTAGAGACAGGGTTTCACCATGTTGACCAGGATAGTCTCGATCTCCTAGCCTTGTGATCTGCCCACCTCAGCCTCCCAAAGTGCTGGGATTACAGGCATGGGAGGATCAGGAGTTTGAGACCAGCCTGGGTAACATAGTGAGACCCCATCTGTACAAGCAGTTAAAAATTAGCCGGGGATTGGCAGGGCATGGTGGCAGGATAGCAAATTAACAGCCAGATACGAAATTCTGAACAAGAGCTTGTGTTTGTCTACCTGGGGAGGGCTCACATGCCCTTTGCTTTTCCAGGAGCATATACAACGCGGCTGTTTGGTACTATCATCACTGCCAGGACAGGATGCCAATTGTTATGGTGACAGAAGATGAAGAGGCAATTCAGCAATATGGAAGTGAAACAGAAGGAGTATTTGTGATTTCCTTCAAGGTATTTCCAGACGAGTATGAGTGCTCATTTCCCAAGTAGTACCCATAAGGCTCTAGATCCCTTTAGTAATACAAAAAAGAGAAAATAAAAGAGAAATAGACATTAGGAAGTTCCCTTTTGGTCAGGCATGGTGGCTCATGCCTATAATCCCAGCACTCGGGAGGCCAAGACGAGAAGATCCCTTGAGCTTAGGAGTTCAAGACTAGCTGGGCAATCTATTAAGACCTTGTCTCTACAAAAAATAAAAAAATCCAAGCATGGTGGCATGCACCTATAGTCCCAGCTACTCAAGAGGCTGAGGTGGAGAATTGTACTCAAGCCTGGGTGGCAGAGCAAGACCCTATCTCAACAAAAGAAGTTCTGTGTCTTCATTATGCCTCAACTATTTAACGTTGACTTTCACAAATTCAGACTAACTTTTACTGTAAGGCTCACATCATCTAATACCAGCCCAGTAAACTACTGACAGTAAACTAACATTTTTAACTATAACAGTAATGGTGATGATGATGATAATAGGTTGGATAAAATTGCCAGCATTCTTGTTGTTGACCTATAAAATGGCAGTTTGACGTAGTTCTACCTAATGGTGTTTACCAACACATATCTATACCAGGCGCTCTTCTATGTGTATTATTTCATTTCATTCTTGCAGCAACCCGATGATGTAGGTGTTATTATTTCATCTTATTGGTAAGGAAATGAAAACACAGAAAGACTCAGTAGCTTGTTCAGAGTCACACAGTAGAAAATGGTAGGGCTGTGATTAAAATCCAGGCAGTCTGACCCCAAAGCTCTTAGCCGTCATGCTGTACTGCCCCCCAAGTTATTTTTCTGAAAACACACAGGAAACAAACGATCTTAAAGGCCAGTCTTTTTTTTTTCAACTGTTCCTCACTCTTCCCCACGCATGAGTGTTCATGGGGATTAATAGGAATAAATGAAAGGGTTGAGATGTGATGTTATATATGTGAATGCTGTCAGATCTGCTTGGTACAGATCTCAGACAGGAGTGGCATTATCAGTGACAGTTTCATTGGGCTGTCTCAGCAACACAGTTCTTCCTATCTCTTAGGTACCGTTTGTGAGAGTAGGATGACTGTTAGGCTCTCAACAGATCACTGGGCTCCTCTGTCTGCCCAGTTGGTCAATTAAGTTCCACTTGTTGATATCATTTTTTGGTGCAGAAACTAGAATAAGGCCCTGTATTACCCCCTGTCAGAAGGTCTAGTTGGGTTTTGAGTTGTAGATTTCATAAGGGTTCCCAGGTGCATGTATTGCTAAAGATTTGCCAATAGAATTTTCTTGGCCCTGCTATAAAAAAAGTGCTCTGGCATGCTAGAGAATTCCAGGGGCGCTGGATATTAATGGCAGTGCCATTTGCTTTCTCTGTTGCAATACATCATGTCTTGTTCCTGCAGAGGACAGTTGACTAAAATTACATTTTTCTACTTTTTGTGAAAATTACTTTTCTTTGTAGTCCAGTGGTATAGTACAGTTTTATTTTCTATAGCGTTTCTCAAGAAAACTGTGACCAAGGGCTTCATAGAGGTGAATGATAGTAGAAAAAAGAGATATTGTGACATTCAGATGAGAGGGAAGCCCAGAATTCTCTGTGGGGACTTGAAGTGAGATGGAGAAGAACCAAGATGATAAATCCCTCTTGAAGAGGTGGTTCATAATGACTAAGTGTGGTGTTGATAAGCGATAAGGGACCATAGAATTGGGGCACTGATGTTAGCACAGACAGACTTTCTGGAAGGAGCAGGGAAAGAATGGAAGCACTTTGCAGGACTCTGCAGTGAGCGAGGGGAAGTGCTGCAGTGACAGTAAATATAACCTGTTTCCTTTTCAATTTGAGAAAAGAGAATGTGCAAGTCTTTACCCCTCAGTTGAGTTAAAATATGTAAAAAAGACAAGAATGGCCCTGCACGGTGGTAAATGCCTGTAATCCAGCACTTAGGAAGGTCAAGGCAGGAGGAGCACTTTAGCCCAGGAGGTCAAGGCTACAGTGAGCCAAGATCACACCACTTGTACTCCAGTATGGGCAACAGAGAAAGACCCTGTCTCTAAAACAAGAAACAGAAAAGGGCCAGGCACGGTGGCTCATGCCTGTAATTCTAGCCCTTAGGAAGGCCGAGGTGGGCGGATCACAAGGTCAAGAGATCAAGACTATCCTGACCAACATGGTAAAACCCTGTCTCTACTTTAAAAAAAAAAAAAAAAAAAAAATTAGCCAGGCATGGTGGTGCACGCACCTGTAGTCCCAGCTACTTGGGAGGCTGAGGCGGAAGAATCACTTGAACCGGGAGGCGGTGGTTGCAGTGAGCTGAGATTGCGCCACTGCACTCCAGCCTGGTGTCAGAGGAGACTCCTTCTCAAAAAAAAAAAAAAAAAGTCCAGGCACAATGGTTCATGTCTGTAATCCCAGCACTTTCAGAGGCCAAGGCAGGCAGATCACGAGGTCAGGGGTTCGAGACCAGCCTGACTAATATGGTGAAACCCCGTCTCTACTAAAAATACAGAATTAGCCAGGCGTGGTAGCACACGCCTGTAGTCCCAGCTACTCAGAAGGCTGAGGCAGAAAAATCACTTGAACCCAGGAGGTGGAGGTTGTAGTAAGCTGAGATCGTGACACTGCACGCCAGCCTGGGCGACAGATACAAAAAAGAAAGAAGGCCGGGCGCGGTGGCTCAAGCCTGTAATCCCAGCACTTTGGGAGTCCGAGGCGGGTGGATCACAAGGTCAAGAGATCGAGACCATCCTGGTCAACATGGTGAAACCCCGTCTCTACTAAAAATACAAAAAATTAGCTGGGCATGGTGGTGCGTGCCTGTAATCCCAGCTACTCAGGAGGCTGAGGCAGGAGAATTGCCTGAACCCAGGAGGCGGAGGTTGCGGTGAGCCGAGATTGCGCCATTGCACTCCAGCCTGGGTAACGAGCGAAACTCCGTCTCAAAAAAAAAAGAAAGAAAGAAAAGAATGTATACATATTGCTGGACACAGTGGCTCCTGCCTATAATCCCAGCACTTTTGGTGGCCAGAGCAAGAGACTCACTTGAGCTCAGGAGTTTGAGACCAGCCTGGGCAACATAGTGAGACCTCATCTCTACAAAAAATGAAAAAAAATTAGCCGTATATGGTGGCATGCACCTCTAGTCCCAGCTACTTGGGAGGCTGAGGTGGGAGGATTGCTTAAGGTGGGGAGGTCAAGGCTGCAGTGAGCCAAGATCATGCCATTGCATCCAGCCTGGGCTACAGAATAAGGCCCCGTCTCAAAAAAAAAAAGTACACAGGCCAGGCACAGTGGCTCACACCTGTAATCCCAGCACTTTGGGAGGCCAAGGCGGGCAGATCACGAGGTCAGGAGATCAAGACCATCCTGGCCAACATAGCGAAATCCCATCTCTACTAAAAATACAAAAAAATTAGCTGGGCATGGTGGTGCACGCCTGTAGTTCCAGCTACTTGGGAGGCTAAGGCAGGAGAATTGCTTGAACCCAGGAGGCAGAGATTGCAGTGAGCCAAGATCGCGCCACTGTACTGCAGTGTGAGACTCCAGCTCAAAAAAAAAAAAAAGTACATGTAGGCCATTGTCTGTAGCAGTTAAATACACATAAAGACAGGCTGCCTGGATCTGTGCAGGTGTGTGCATGGTGTATGTGAAGAGAAAGAGACTTGGAGGTGGAAGTGTTCCACAGTGGGTGGCCTCTGGGGCTCGTTTGGCAGGCTCTGGGGTTAATGTGGTGGTAGGGAATGAACGGTGAGTGAGACTCAGGAAGTCCTGCTCGGTGGATACACTGAAAAGCAGCAGGCCAGCAGTTCCTAGTCAGGAGTTTCTGTAGTAGTACCATGATGAAGAATCAGCACCTTCTGACCATGTTTCTCTGTGCTTTTATTAAATACAGAATTACCTGGACAATTTCTGGCCTGATTTAAAAGCTGCCCGCGAGCTTTGTGATTCTATTCTTCAGTCTCGACGGGAAAGAGAGAATGAGAGTCAGGAGAGCCATGGGAAGGAGTATCCAGAACATCTTCCCCTGGAAGTGTTAGAAGCTGGAATTAAATCTGGACGCTATATCCAGGTGAGGGTGCTAATTTAGAATGTGTCAGGGCTGGGTGTGGTGGCTCATGCCTATAATCCCAACACTTTGGCTAAGGCTGGTAGATCACTTGAGCCCAAGAGCTGGAGTCTAGACTGGGCAACATAGTGAGACCCTGTCTCTACAAACAATTTTAAAATTAGCCAGGCATAGTGGTGTGTACCTATAGTCCCAGATTACTTGGGAGGCTGAGGCAGGAGGATCACTTCAGCCTGGATGGTTGAGGCAGCCATGATTGTGCCACTGTACTCCAGCCTGGGCAACAGCAAGAACCTGTCTCAAGGAAAAAAAAAAAAAAAAGAATTTGTCAGGACCAGCCGGTGTGTTTTCTTCTCTTCTTACTGCCTGCTGTCACAGGCCTCTGATTTCACAGACTGCAAACAAGATGGGCATGAGTAAGACAGGGCTGTCGATGTTTCAGGTGTCTTGGCAGTCATTCTTTCTGTAGACGCTGGTTGTCCAGCTTGAAGCTACCCTGTGATGAAGTCCTTAATTCTGTTATATGTTGAGCATCACACAAGCAGAATGCAGAGGCAGCCTGGTAAATGCCTCCTGTCACTAGGAAAAAAACATACCTCTTTCAATCAAGGTCTGGAGGTTTGGCAATATTGTAAAATCGGTGACGTTTAGCTCCTTCCTCCTTTGCCACTGTTCATCTGCCCCTTTCAAGGGCCTCTCTGTCATACTCCCAGGACCCTAGAACCCAAATGCTGTCAGGGTCTTGGGATGGAATCAGATAGAATTTTAATTCAGATTTCAAGTTTTATATACATTCATTTATGTGTGCATGTGTGTGTAGCTCTGTGCAGTTTTATCACATGCATAGGTATGTGTATCCACCACCACAATCAAGATACGGAACTGTTCTTTCATGGATTTTACATTTCTAATGAGCAACTCAATGGATTGTCAGTCACAATCTAAGAATATCACTCCAAAGCCCCTCCCTGAAAGTGTGGGGATTTTAAATGAGTATGCCTAGAGAGGCTAATGTTTCCAACTTGGTAGTAAAGTTTATAGCATTCCTGGGAGGAGATTTTAAGATAGAAGATTTTTAAAAGACTACTCATCAGTTACATTAGATAGAGCCTGGTACTTTCAGCACTTTGTATAGCTAAGAGTAGTTCAAAATGATGGTATTTTTCTCTGGAGAAAATAAATCTTAATCATTAATATTATTCCTAGCCAGGCACGGTGGCTTACACCTGTAATCCCAGCACTTTGGAAGGCCAAGGTGGATCACAAGGTCAGGAGTTCAAGACCAGCCTGGCCAACACGGTGATACCCTGTCTGTACTAAAAATACAAAAAATTAGCTGGGCATAGTGGCGCATGCTTATAATCCCAGCTTCTTGGGAGTCTGAGGCAGGAGAATTACTTGAACCCAGGAGGCAGAGGTTGCAGTGAGCTGAGATGGTGAAAGAGCAGGACTCCGTCTTGAAAATATGTATCAGAAAAAGAAAAAAAAAACACACACACAAAAGATATATATATTATTCCTAAATAATTATCTATATCTATATCTATATCTATACACATATATATAGATATATATAGGTATATATATAATTTCTAGGAGTTTCGCTCTTGTTACCCAGGCTGGAGTGCAGTGGCGCGATCTCGGCTCACCACAACCTCCGCCTCCGGGGTTCAGGCAATTCTCCTGCCTCAGCCTCCTGAGTAGCTAGGATTACAGGCACGCGCCACCATGCCCAGCTAATTTTTTGTATTTTTAGTAGAGACGGGGTTTCACCATGTTGACCAGGCTGGTCTCGATCTCCTGACCTCGTGATCCACCCGCCTCGGCCTCCCAAAGTGCTGGGATTACAGGCTTGAGCCACCGTGCCCGGCTGGAATGTTTTCACATAATTTTAAAAAACTGGACCTTTCGGAGATAAACCAAGCAGAAAAAAACATTTTTCACATTTATTTTTTGTTATGATTTTAGGGAATTCTGAATGTCAACAAACACAGAGCCCAAATAGAAGCTTTTGTTCGACTTCAAGGAGCCAGCAGCAAAGATTCAGGTTCAGTATAAACCTTACATAAATTTCCATACTACTCTTTTATTCTGACATTATACAATGAAGAAAGCAAGGCTGAAATTGTCTTGTCAGATGTGCCCTGTCCTGTATGCCTATATACATTGTGTATGTGGGATTGTGAGGGCTTTTCCCCTAGTTGGTTTTTTTTTTTTTTTTTTTTTCTATAATTTCTGATTTCGTCATATTAAATTTAAACTGCAATACAGAGAAGCAAAGTAATTTGCCCAGGGTCACACACCTGGTAAGTGGTGGAGCTGAACTTGTAGCCAAGGCAGTTTGGCTGTGATTTTAAAATATTACTCTGTGCTGCCTCAGTGCAATATATTACTTTATTAGAATAATTTTTTTAAGTAATAAAAATGAAAAAAATGTGTAAATAAGTTATATCATAATCAGGTGCAGTTCTTAGTTTTGTAATGACAGGGTGAGAAAGAAACCCTGCTAGTCAAAGGAGCATGGCTGGGTGGAAGGAGAATGAGCGGCTGGGTTGAAGGAGAATGAGCAACTGGCTTTCTGTGGGCCTTTGCTAGTCAGAATTTGCCCTGTCGGTTCTGCCTTGTTTATAGTTCCTCAGCCCACTGACCACTCCCTTGGCTGTGTAGGAGCCTGAAGGTATTGGGCGGAATTCCAGCATAGGCTCACATAATTGCATGCAGGGAACTAACACCTTTTTAAAAGGTGGTGAGGTGGGGTGGAATATTTTTTAAAAGATGATTGAGGGTGGCACTTAGGAAAGCTCATTATACGGTATGACATAGTACCAGCAATTCTTCATTCCTAGCATGCAGAATGAAAGAATTTTGACTTTACCTTTGAAAGGAAGAAGCTTTATTTGCAGGAGTGCTGATTAGACTTGGAATATGTTATGCACGGAAGGCCTCACTGGTGTGACATTCCCCTGGCTTTATGGATTTTTTTCTGTGCTGCCCCAAACACAGATTTAGTCAGTGACATCCTAATCCACGGGATGAAGGCTCGAAACCGCTCGATTCATGGGGATGTGGTAGTTGTGGAGCTGCTCCCTAAAAATGAATGGAAAGGAAGGACCGCAGCCCTGTGTGAGAATGACAGTGACGACAAAGCCTCGGGCGAATCCCCAAGTGAGCCCATGCCTACAGGTGAGCCAGCTGGAGAGCCACTCCAGTGTCCATTTTTCCTGCGGAATTATATTTTTCTTCTCTTTAGCAAGCCAGAAATACTGCCTTTAATTAATTAATTAATTAATTTAAATGGACAAATAAAAACTGTATATTTATTGTGTATAATATGATGTTTTGATATAATCCCTTGGATATAATACATGGCTAGACTGAGCTAATTCACCTCTGTATTAACCTCACATACTGCGTGGTGAAAACACTTAAGATCTACTCTCTCAGCGATTTTCTTTTTTTTTTTTTTTTTTTTTTTTTGAGACGGAGTTTCGCTCTTGTTACCCAGGCTGGAGTGCAACGGCGCGATCTCGGCTCACCGCAACCTCCGCCTCCTGGGTTCAAGCAATTCTCCTGCCCCAGCCTCCTGAGTAGCTGGGATTACAGGCACGCACCACCATGCCCAGCTAATTTTTTGTATTTTTAGTAGAGACGGGGTTTCACCATGTTGACCAGGATGGTCTCGATCTCTCGACCTTGTGATCCACCCGCCTTGGCCTCCCAAAGTGCTGGGATTACAGGCTTGAGCCACCGCGCCCGGCTCTCTCAGCGATTTTCAAGAATACAGTACATTGTTATTAACTATAGCCACAGGTTGTAGAATAATAGCTTCTAACACGAGACATAGTCTCTGCCCCTCCATCGTCAGTTTTCCCTCTCTGCAGGTTTATTTCATCTCATCAGCACCCAAACATGCTGTAATGGCTTCCATCTTAAAATCAAACCAAAAATCCTCTCTGGGTGCCATGTCCCTTTCAGCTACTGCCTCTTATCGTGAAAGTCAGAGTATGGTTAACTCCATGTTCTCTCTTCCTCCCTGCCAGCCTCTCATACCTGCCATTGTGGCATCTCCCAACACCTACTCTCCATTCAAATTGTTCTTTCCAAGGTCACCAAGGACCACATTGCCAGAGCACTGGTCAGCCCCCGTCAGCTGGAATGGTCAGCAGCATTTGTCTAGAGGGCTTCTGCCTTGCCTTGGACTTCTCTCGGTTGTCCCACCTGCTGGCTGCTCTTCTCAGACCCTCTCGTGGCTCTCCATCTCATTGTCCTCTTGGATGTGCTGAATCTCCTGTTCTCTCCACTCTCCCCCTTGGGGATCTCCTGTAGTCATTTGATTTTGTATCTCCAGCCCTTCTTCAGCTTCTTGTTTTGTTTACCCAATGGTCTATTTGACATCTTCCCCTGGATGTCTAATGGCGTCTCATACTTAATGGGTCCCATGCAGACTCCTGATTTTACCCCCACATCTGCTCTTCCCAGCATGTTCCCCAGTCTCAGTAAAGGGCAAATTCATCACCCCAAGATACCTTGGGGTTATTGTTTCACTCATCAGCAAATGCTGGCAGCTCCAACTCTAATGCGTGGCCTCAATTCAGCCACCTGCCACACTTCCCCCACAGCTCTCCTGCTTTAGTCCACTGGCACCTCGGGACTATCTCAGCAGCCTCCTGGCTGCTCTCCCTGCTCCCACCCTTCCCTGTCCTGCTGTAGTCTTTTCTCCAACCAGAGGCACAATGATCCTTGAGAAAGTGAGTTGGGGAGCCAGGCGTGGTGGCTCACACCTGTAATCCCAGCAGTTTGAGAGGCCGAGGTGGATGGATCACATGAGGTCAGGAGTTGGAGACCATCCTGGCCAATGTGGTGAAACCCTGTCTCTACTGAAAATGAAAAATTAGCCAGGCACAGTGGTGCATGCCTGTAGTCCCAGCTACTCAGGAGGCTGAGGCAGGAGAATCACTTGAACCCAGGAGGCGGAGGTTGCAGTGAGCCGAGATGGCGCCACTGCACTCCAGCCTGGGCAAGAAAGTGAGACTCTCTCTCAAACAAAAGAAAAAAAAAGGAAATCGAGAGTTGGCTCCTGCCATTTCTCTGCCCAGAACTCTTCAATGGCTGCTTCCTGCTTCACTCAGAATAAAATCCTAAGTCCTTACCGTGGCCTACAGGGTCCCACCAGCTAAGGCCACCTTCTGCCATTTTCCTCTTTATCCTTCTGCTTCGGCTGCAACTACAACTTGTTCTTTCCACCACCTGGATCAAGCTTTTCCCCAACACCCTAACATCTGTTTTCCTCACTTCGCTGAAGTCACTTTATTTAAAGTTGCTGCCACTTCTCACCCTCTGTCACTCTTGGTCACCTTACCCTACCTTGTTTCTTCTTAGCAACTGTCACGACTTCACTTTTTTTGGTCTATTTTCCACCCCCACAGACACCCAAACTGATTTTATATAAAATCCCTGAAATCAGGGACTTTGCATGTTATGATGCTGCTATTTTCCCAACCTCATACCTGGTTGGAGCTCAATATTTGTGAAAAAAAAAAAGAAAAAGGTAATACTTTTAACCATTGAAGTTTGGTCTCAGCTTCAGTCAGTGATAATTGAAAATGTTGTGTATCAGTCTTATAATCTGTTTACTTTGCTGTGGATAATGGATCAAATGAGGTTGGCTAGTGAGAGAAGGCAAGAAAGACTGAAAATGTGCAGTTGAGGGCATGGTTTAAAACAAGAGTGAGAATCATTGACTTTTCCCAATATACCAAAACTTGAGATTGATGAGATGATGGCAAAAGAGAGAAAATGGGACGAGTGGATTCTAAATGTTATCTCAGGCCCCATGGAAGAGACAGCATACTGACAATGTTATTTAAAGTTACCTATCAGCCAGGTGCGGTGGCTCAAGCCTGTAATCCCAGCACTTTGGAAGGCCAAGGCAGGTGGATCACGAGGTCAAGAGATGGAGACCATCCTGGCCAACATGGTGAAACCCCTTCTCTACTAAAAATACCAAAAAAAATTAGCTGGGCGTGGTGGCGTGCGCCTGTAGTCCCAGCTACCCGGGAGGCTGAGGCAGGAGAATTGCTTGAACCCGGGAGGCGGAGGTTGCACTTGAGCCGAGATCACGCCACTGCACTCCAGCCTGGCAACAGAGCGAGACTCTGTCTCAAAAAAAAAAAAAAGTTACCCATCTTTGGCTGGGCATGGTGGCTCACACCTGTAATCTCAGCACTTTGGAGGCCAAGGTGAGTGAACAACCTGAGGTCAGGAGTTCGAGACCAGCCTGACCAACATGGTAAAACCCTGTCATTACTAAAAAAAAATACAAAATTAGCCAGGCATGGTGTTGGATGCCTGTAATCCCAGCTGCTCGGGTGGCAGGAGAATCACTTGAACCCGGGAGGTGGAGGTTGCAGTGAGTAGAGATTGTGCCTTTGTACTCCAGCCTGGGAAACAAGAGTGAAACCAAATTTAAAAAAAACAAATTTACCCATCTTTGCTGGACATGATGGCATATGCCTATAGACCCAACTACCCAGGAGGATGGATTGAGCCCAGGAGCTCAAGACTGTAGTGCACTGTCATAATGCCTACGAATAGCTAGTGCACTATAGCCTGGGCAGCATAGTGAGATAGTGTTTCAAAAAAGAGAGAGAGGCTGGGTGCGGTGGCTCACACCTGTAATCCCAGCACTTTGGGAGGCTGAGGCGGGTGGATCACAAGGTCAGGAGTTCAAGACCAGCCTGGCCAAAATGTTGAAACCCCATCTCTACTAAAAATACAAAAATTAGCTGGGCATGGTGGCGCGTGCCTGTAATCCCAGCTACTCAGGAGGCTGAGGCAGGAGAATTGTTTGAACCTGGGAGGCGGAGGCTGCGGTGAGCCGAGATCGCGCCATTGCACTCCAGCCTGGGTGACAGAGTGAGACTCCGTCTAAAAAAAAGAGAGAAGGAAGGAAGGTGGAAAGGATGGAAAGGATGGAGGGAGGAGGGAAAGAAGAAAGGAAGAGAGGGAGGGAGGGACGGAGGGAGAAAGGAAGGAAAAAGAAACTTTTCTTTTGATACGGAGTACAGTGGCACAGTCTTGGCTCAAAATATGTTTTTAGATTATCCATCTTTAAAATAAAATACTAAGAAGGAAAATATTTTAAATATGTCTTTTTTTTTTAACCGCTAAACTAACGAGGATAAACATATCTTTTCTTGTTATTGTGTCTGTGTGTGTGTGTTTTGTTTGTTTTTGAGACAGAGTCTCACTCCATTGCCCAGGCTGGAGTGTAGTGGTGCCATCTTGGATCAATGCAACCTCCACCTCCCAGGGTCAGGCAGTTCCCATCTCAGCCTCCCAAGCAGATAGGATTACAGGCATGAGGTACCACATCCAGCCTAATTTTTGTACTTTTATTAGAGACAGGATTTCACCATGTTGGCCAGGCTGGTCTTGAACTCCTGGCCTCAAGCGATCCACCCACCTTAGCCTCCCAAAGTGCTGGAATTAGAGGCATGAGCCACCACACCCAGCTGTTATTATTGTTAATAAAAGCTTCCTTTCAAAAACGTTCTTGATTTGGGTGGATGTGTTAAAAAAAAAAAATAGGACACTGTATTTCTTGTTCTTTTCCTTACTGCTGAGGTGGTCAGAGTCCAGATAGGTGGCACCTAACCAATTAACGCCTTGTTTTGTTTTCCCAAAGGTCGAGTGGTGGGCATACTTCAGAAGAACTGGCGGGATTATGTGGTGACATTTCCATCCAAAGAAGAGGTCCAATCTCAGGGCAAAAATGCTCAGAAAATTCTGGTTACACCTTGGGATTACAGAATTCCCAAAATTCGAATTAGCACTCAACAAGCAGAAGCCCTCCAGGTAGCTGGCATTCTACCTCTACTTTGGGATCTCTACTCTTCTCTGTTCTTTGCCAACTTTTTAGCAGTACCAGAAAGCATCGTTAATTCCTTTGCATATAAGGAAATAAATTATTGATGGCATCTGGCATTCCAAGATACTGGGATGTGTTTTTGGGTGTTGTTTTTTTTTTCAAGTTGGAGTCTCACTCTCACCCAGGCTGGAATGCAGTGGCATGATCTCGGCTCCCTGCAGCCTCCACTCCTGAGTTCACATGATTCTCCTGCCGCAGCCTCCTGAGTAGCTGGGATTACAGGCACCTGCCACCCTGCCTGACTAATTTTTGTATTTTTAGTAGAGGCGGGGCTTCACCATCTTGGCCAGGCTAGTCTCAAACTCCTGACCTCGTGATCCACCCACCTCCACCTCCCAAAGTGCTGGGATTACAGGCATGAGCCACCATGCCCAGCCATGGTTTTTTGTTTTTTAATTCATTTTTTGTAAAGATGGGGTCCCGCTTTGTTGCACAGGCTGGTCTTAAACTCCTGACCTCAGGCAATCCTCCCACTTTGGCCTCCCAAAGTGCTGGAATCACAGCCATGAGCCACCGTGCCCAGCCCCAAAATTCTGTTTTTATAAAAACTCTAAATATATGAGAACTATCCATTAAGTAGTCTGTGGTTAATAAATTCAGGCCAGAGAGAAATTGTCCTAGAAAGAGCTGTGTAGGACAACCAGAGAGAACATACATTATCCAGCTGTCCAACACAGAAACTTTCAACAGATACACTTTGCCAACACTAACAAGCTTTCCTCCAGCAAGCAATATAGAAATACGATCACTCTGCCCTGTAGGGATGATGTAGTGGTACTTCACAGAATTGATTATCCATAAAGGAATATAGCACTGGAGAGAAGACATAAACAAGAAAGTTAGAAATTAACCTTTACTGTGTCAAAGAGTATGGGCATTGCCCAATTTAATTCCCCCTGATATTTTACAGTTTGTAAATGAGACACTAAAGGAGATTGTCTCCAGCCAGTTACCTGGCCGTTGTGCTTTTTACATTTCGAAGCCTTATTGCAGGCTCTCCAGGCCAATTGCACCCATTAAAACAGTTACCCTGCTTTCCATTCCCATGGTTTGCTGGAATTTTTGGGTAGTGGGGATTCAGTTTACACCAATACCTTCTTCTCCACCAGAGACCATCTTAGGAGGTCTTCAAAGAGGTTAGGCGCAGTGGCTCATGCCTGTAATTCTAGCATTTTGGGAGGCCAAGGTAGGCGGATCACTTGAGGCCAGGAGTTCAAGACCAGCCAGGCCAACATGATAAAACCCCATTTCTACCAAAAAAAAAAAAAAAAAACCAAAAATTAACTGGGCATGGTGGTACACACTTGTAATTTCAGCTACTTGAGAGGCTGAGGCAGGAGGATCAATTGAACCCAAGAGGCAGAGGCTGCAGTAAGCCAAGAGGGTACCACTGCACTCTAGCCTGGATGACAGGGAGAGACTCCATCTCAAAAAAAAAGACTTCAAAGAAATTAGGAGCTTCCTGCCACACACGAAACATTGAGATTGTTGTTTTAGGCAGGTCCAAGTGCAGTGGTGTTTACAACTAATTGATCACAACCAGTTACAGATTTCTTTGTTCCTTCTCCACTCCTACTGCTTCACTTGACTAGCCTTAAAAAAAATAAAAATAAGGGCCGGGCGCGGTGGCTCAAGCCTGTAATCCCAGCACTTTGGGAGGCCAAGGTGGGTGGATCACAAGGTCAAGAGATCCAGACCATCTTGGTCAACAAGGTGAAACCTCGTCTCTACTAAAAATACAAAAAATTAGCTGGGCATGGTGGCTCATGCCTGTAATCCCAGCTACTCAGGAGGCTGAGACAGGAGAATTGCCTGAACCCAGGAGGCGGAGGTTGCGGTGAGCCGAGATTGTGCCATTGCACTCCAGCCTGGGTAACAAGAGCGAAACTCCGTCTCAAAAAAAATAAATAAATAAAAATAAAAATAAGTAAAATAAAATAAATTTAAAAAAGATTGTTGTTTTAAAACTGAATTTGAACCATCCATAACTGAGTTTTCTCCTTGTGTTGCAGGTGTTAACTAGAATGTATTACAATCGGCTCTCTCTTTTTTTTTTTTTTGAGACGGAGTTTCACTCTTGTTTCCCGGGCTGGAGTGCAATGGCGCAATCTCGGCTCACTGCAACCTCCGCCTCCTGGGTTCAGGCAATTCTCCTGCCTCAGCCTCCTGAGCAGCTGGGATTACAGGCACACACCACCATGCCCAGCTAATTTTTTGTATTTTCAGTAGAGACGGGGTTTCACCATGTTGACCAGGATGGTCTCGATCTCTTAACCTCGTGATCCACCCACCTCGGCCTCCCAAAGTGCTAGGATTACAGGCTTGAGCCACCGCGCCCGGCTACAATCGGCTCTCTTTAGCAGACTAAAATTTCTAGTCCTCTTCATTGATGTAGAGAAGTAATACCTCCTTTCAAAGCACTGGGCCAAGCATTTCATACCGTCTGGCAATTTAGTAATAGGAAGAATGAAAAACAAAAAAACCCTACTGTGCACCACTTTTTACCATTGGCCACTGTCTTTGAAACCCACTGCTGTTTGCCTCTTGTTTGTTTGATGCCTCTAATTGACCCACATAACTGGGTACTCAGCTGTGTTTTATTTTTTCCCCTTTGTGCAGGATTTCAGGGTGGTCGTGCGCATCGATTCCTGGGAGTCAACATCTGTGTATCCAAATGGACACTTTGTGCGTGTTTTAGGAAGAATCAGAGATCTGGAAGGGGAAATTGCAACCATCCTGGTGGAAAACAGTATTTCAGTTGTCCCTTTCTCAGAAGCTCAGGTCTGATTTTCCAGAAGCCTTTGAGCTAATGACATTTTCTTCTTGCTTTTGTTGTTGTTTGTTTCATCAAAAAAGACAAATCTTATTAGAGGAGGCATTCTGTTTTCTGGGTAATTTTTAAAAAATAGAAAAGAAAGAAAGAAAAATCTTTGTGCTATTTAACAACCCACTGGGTGAAGCCACAGATAATGGAAAAATCTCACTCCTCTTTATTCTATATTTGGACCAAACTAAAGTCAGCTTCAAGTGTAGAATTAGTTTTCTATAGCCTCACAGCTCTCAAATTTTTCTGTTTTCCAACTGGGCTTAAAAATGATATGTCAGTGTCTTATAGTCAGTGGACATCCATCCCCAGTAACTACAAGGACACCTAGTTTCAGACTCAACTGAGCTCCACTCTCTGTCGAAATCATTTAACCAGAGGCCACATAAAGCTGCAGGGAGTGGATTCCTGGGATCCATACATCTCCAACCCATGGGTCAAAAATTACGCTCATTATGAAACACTTTTTGTGACCTTTACAGAAAACAAAAAGCCCATAAACATAAAATATCAGCTATTTGCATCGCTTTATGATCTTTTAAAACCCTCATAAATCTTCTATATTATTCTTGCATGACTGTATTTGTCGTGTGCACACACTAATTTCTGTTCTGCTTCTTTTCACTTAAAGTTATTTTTATATATTGACATAGCCTACTTATTTTAATAGTTATGGTGAATTATAGAATATTGATATACCCTAGTTTGCTTAAGCATTTCTCAATTGCTGGGCATTCCGTTGTTTAACTTTTCAGTATTATAAAAAACAAATGTAGGCTGGGTGCGGTGGCTCACGCCTGTAATCTCAGTACTTTGGGAGGCCTAGGTGGGTGGATCACAAGATTGGGAGTCAAAACCAGCCTGGCCAACATGGTGAAACCCTGTCTCTACTAAAAAATGCAAAAATTAGCGTGTGTGCCTGTAGTCCCAGCTGCTCGGGAGGCTGAAGCAGGAGAATGACTTGAACCTGGGAGGCAGAGATTGTGGTGAGCCGAGATTGCGCCACTGCACTCCAGCTTGGGCGACAGAGTGAGACTCCATCTCAAAAAAAAAAAAAGTTACTTCAAACATTTTTATAAACACTGCTTTTTAATTTCTTTTTGTCATTCTCTTGGAATGTAATCCTTAAAGTGAGATTACCAAATCAAAGGGTATAAAAGCTTTAAATAGCTTTTGATATATAGTAGCAGATTGTTCTCCAGAAAAATTGGACCCATTTGCATTGCCATAAGGAGTGTCTGGGTGTCCTTATTTTCATTATACTTTTTCACAGAACAGTAAATTATTTTAGAATATTTTACATCATTAAATTTTTATATTTAACGTTAGTTTCTGGAAATTATTTGTTGACTTGTTTGGCAGCTCTTAGTGAAAACGTTACAATAAAATAAAGTGTGGGCTAGACATCATAGGACTGGAATTTTCTCTTCCCTTTTAGCCTACTTAGCTGCAAATTGATGGCTTAAACTTAAACAGATAATAATGGAGAGAAAATGCCCTAGATAGGTCCTGTATAAAATTATCTTTAAGGGGTAAACTTCTAATATTTGGGACATGTTTATTATTTTTTCAAGGCTTAAATTTAAAACTCAACTACATTTAGACAAACAGATCGTTTGAAAATGGGCTACATGTTGTATTCTCATTCCAAGCCCCTGTAACTAAACAGGCTGGTAGTCGTTGTGGGGCATCTTCTGTCCAACTGTATGGGGCATCAGGGGTGGGGAACTTCATCTTTCTTGTTGAATCCTGACTTTCCAGAACCCAGCACAGTACCCAAGACATCTGAGGCAACTAATAAACAATTATTGATCAAAGGAAGCCAACATAGGTTGATGCAGAAGGTAATTGAGAATCAGTGAATTTGTATGTGGTCACATTGAGAATATTAGAGAATGGATTTTTATAGAAATCTGTGGTACATGAATTGCTGAATATTTGGCCTCTCATACAGATGGGTGAGATGCCAGTGAACACACCAGAAAATCCCTGGAAGGTGAGTCCTGAAGAGGAACAAGAACGTAAAGACTTGAGGAAAAGCCATCTTGTGTTCAGCATTGACCCCAAAGGTTGTGAAGATGTGGATGACACACTCTCAGTCAGAACTTTACACAATGGCAACGTGGAACTTGGGGTCCACATTGCAGACGTCACACACTTTGTGGCACCAAATTCTTATATTGATATTGAAGCCAGAACAAGGTAATATTATTTGAAATCACACTATGGTTGTATGTGACTGTATATTTTGTGTCTGTACTAGTTTCAGGTGTTCAAAACGAAGATCTCATATTTGTGCAATTCTGAAGGTCCCTTCCAGAAAAAAAAAAAAGTTGAGGTCCACTCCCCATTTTCCTTTGGAGAAAGGGTACCTTGGTAGATTCACCTTTCCTTTTTAACATAACCTTTTCACACGTTTCCTACTAAATCGAAATGGGTTAAATTTTTGTGTGGTAATATACTATTTTATATAAACACTGGATCATTACTCTCCAATTTTTCTTCTACAATGAAGATTCATATCACTTGCCCTTTCTTTCTCATATCAGTGGAAGAATATTCAGCCCAAAGCAGTCTCACTTAGAAAAGTGGGACCATGGGAATCGTTTTATTACCCAGTCTGCTGCACTTTATGAAACAGCAGCAGCCTTGGGGAATCTGTAGTGAGATTTTGGCCATTTACCTCCCTGCGGTCCACACAGTCAGCAGTTCTGCTTCTCCCCACTGAAGGTCACGTTGCCACATGTGTGTCATTCACAGGGCCACCACTTATTACTTAGCAGATCGTCGTTACGACATGCTGCCTTCCATCCTCAGTGCTGATTTGTGTTCCCTCCTGGGAGGTGTTGATAGGTGAGTTTATGGCTTTTGTCTTCAAAGCTTGTCCTGGCTCTTCTGTGGCTCCCTGCCCTCTTTTTTCTTCTCTGCTACGCCCCATCCTGGCCCTGTGTCTCCTGTCTGACCTCTCAACACCACCCCCAGCCCCATCCCCACACCACTTACTTTTAGGCAGCTTTATTTCTCCAACCTTCCCTGACCTTCCTCTCCTCTTTTCTGTCTGCCAGTGGGACTGCTTCTCCCTCTGTTGCTGGCTTTTTAAAGTTAGTTAAAATCTGAGAACACGGCCGGGCGCGGTGGCTCAAGCCTGTAATCCCAGCACTTTGGGAGGCCGAGGCGGGTGGATCACGAGGTCGAGAGATCGAGACCATCCTGGTCAACATGGTGAAACCCCGTCTCTACTAAAAATACTAAAAATTAGCTGGGCATGGTGGCACGTGCCTGTAATCCCAGCTACTCAGGAGGCTGAGGCAGGAGAATTGCCTGAACCCAGGAGGCGGAGGTTGCGGTGAGCCGAGATCGCGCCATTGCACTCCAGCCTGGGTAACAAGAGCAAAACTCCGTCTCAAAAAAAAAAAAAAAAAAAAAAAAAAAAAATCTGAGAACACGTGTGTAGCTTTGTGCTTATGCATTCCCTGGTTGAAGTTGTTTGGCATAAGGATCATTTACTTGGGGAGTTTTTTGTTTATTCATTCGTTGAGGTTAAAGTTTATGTTTCTCTTTGAACAGGTAATAGAATCATATAGGCCAAACTCATAGGTCCCAAGAGGTATTTAATGAAAGGTTCCTCCCTATCACTTTCCTTCATTAACCAGTTCTGTATTAGTTTTTCTAGATATAATACACACATAAATATGCATATGTGATCTTTTTTTTACACAAATGGTGGCATCATATAAATATACCATTTAGCACCTTCCTTTAAAAAAAAAAAAAAAAAAAACTTAGGCCAGGTGCGGTGGCTCACATCTGTAATCCCAGCACTTTGGGAGGCTGAGGTGGGTGGATCACTTGAGGTCAGAAGTTTGAGACCAGCCCGGCCAGCATGGTGAAACCCCATCTCCACTAAAAATACAAAATTAGCCGGGCATGGTGGCACATGCCTGTAGTCCCAGCTACCTGGAAGGCAGAGGTTGCAGTGAACCAAGATCTCGCCACTGCACTCCAGCCTTGATGACAGAGCAAGACTCTATCTCAAAAAAAAAAAAAAAAAAAAAAAAAAAAAAGATAAGCTTAATGGTATCTTGGTGATCATTCCATATTAATAACAGTTGCACTATCTGTGGAAATTTGGATAGTTTTCAATCTTTTGGTATTATAAACAAAGTTATACATAGTTAACTTTGAATATAAGTCATTTCACATTTTCATTTTCATTTTTGTTTTTATTTTTTGAGACAAGTTTCACATGTTGCCTAGGCTGGTCTTGAACTCCTGGGCTCCAGTGATCCTCCTGCCTTGGCCTCCCAAAGTGCTGGGATTACAGATGTAAGCCACCATGCCCAGCCCATTTCACATTTTTTAAAGTACAGTATATGTGAAAGAAACTTCCGATGTGTGATTATGGGATTTCTGTGTCAAGAGTTTGTGCATTTGTGTTTGTATCATTATGATCAAATTGCCCTCCTTAAAGGTTACATCAATTATATTCCTGCTGCTAATGTATGAGACTGCTTATTTTCCCACAGCTTTGCCAACACAATATGTTGTATTTTTTTATCGTTGCCAATTTGATACATTAAAAATTATATCTTAGAGTGGTTTTAATTTGCGTTATTAACATAAAAGGAATAAACTAACCTCTTTTTTTTTTTTTTTTCCTTTTTTTTTTGAAACAGAGTCTCACTCTGTAGCACAGGCTAGAGTGCAGTGATGTGATCTCTGCTCACTGCAACCTCTGCCTCCTGGGTCCTGGTTTAACCAGGAGTTTGAACTCAGCCTCAGCCTCCAGAGTAGCTGAGATTACAGGCATGCACCACCATGCCCCCAGCTAATTTTTGTATTTTAGTAGAGACGGGGTTTCAGCATGTTGGCCAGGCTGGTCTTGAACTCCTGACCTTATGATCCACCTGCCTCGGCCTCCCAAAGTGCTGGGATTACAAGCCTGAGCCACCGTGCCTGGCTTAAAGCCAACCATTTTTTAATATGTTTAACAGTCACTTATGTATCCCTTTCTGTGAACTACTTCATATTCTTTGCCCATTTTTCTTTTGGGTTTAAGGTCAATTATTAATTAATTTGTAAAAGCTCTTTACATATTAGGAAAATTGGCCCTGTTTTTTATGAGTTGCAAATATTTACATTTTTAAATAAAATGATTTGGTGGCAAAGAGGTTTTTTACTAAATAAATTTTTTGCTAATTTAGCTATCATCAAGATTGATATCACAGTTCAGTGTCTGTCATCCTGTAGGATCTGCAAGACTTGCTCTAATTTACAGAGGAGCTAAATAGACTTGACTCTATCAGTGTCTTGCTTTTCTAATCAAAATGGAGGACATAAAGCAGGGTTTGTAATGTCACATATAAACTCATTTGAAATTTGTTCAGAGCTCAACAGAACCATCTAACTTTGTTGTTTTAATTTAAAATATTTTTTGATTTAGTGGTAGGGTGGTTGGATTGACATATCAAACCAGAAACTTGTAGCATTGTAATTTCTTTTAAGTTACACTTAGGTTAAATTCTACTTGCTTCAAAAATAGAAGAATTAAGTGAGGCATGGTGGCTTACACCTATAATCCCAGCACTTTGGGCAGGAGAATTAATTGCTAAAGCCCAGGAGATTGGGGCTGCAGTAAGCAGTGATCATGCCATTGTACTCCAGCCTGGGTGACAGAGCAAGACCCTGTCTCAAAAAAAAAAAACAACAAAAAACAACCAGGGCTGGTGCGGTGGCTCACATCTGTAATACCAGCACTTTGGGAGGCCGAGGCAGGTAGATCACAAGGTCAGGAAATTGAGACCATCGTGGCTAACACCATGAAACCCCATCTTTACTAAAAATACAAAAATTAGCCGGGCATGGTGGCACATGCCTATAGTCACAGCTACTCAGGAGGCTGAGGCAGGAGAATCACTTGAACCCAGGAGGCAGAGGTTGCAGTGAGCCAAGATCGCACCACTGCACTCCAGCCTGGGTGACAGAGCAAGACTCTGTCTCAAAAAAAAAAAAAGATGAATTGAATAGTGATGTTGTCAATGTTATTGGTTTTACAGGTATGCTGTAAGTATCATGTGGGAATTGGATAAAACCTCTTATGAAATTAAGAAAGTGTGGTATGGCAGAACCATTATTCGATCAGCATACAAACTGTTCTATGAAGCAGCCCAGGAACTACTGGATGGAAACTTCAGCATTGTTGATGATATTCCAGAATTCAGAGACTTGGATGAGCAGAGCAGACAAGCCAAGCTGGAGGAATTAGTGTGGGCAATTGGAAAGCTGACTGACATAGCTCGCCATGTCAGAGCTAAACGAGATGGATGTGGTGCCCTGGAACTGGAAGGGGTGGAGGTTCGCGTACAGCTAGATGAGAAAAAGAATATTCACGACCTCATCCCCAAGCAGCCCCTGGAAGTCCATGAGACGGTGGCCGAATGCATGATCCTGGCCAACCACTGGGTGGCCAAGAAGATCTGGGAGAGCTTCCCTCATCAAGCCTTGCTGCGCCAGCACCCTCCTCCACACCAGGAGTTCTTTTCGGAACTCCGGGAATGTGCAAAAGCCAAAGGCTTCTTCATAGACACACGGTATTCCTCTTTTGAGGGGACAGAGGAATGGAGGGGCATGTTGTATATTTCTTTATCTTACAGTCATTCTTAAAATATGACAGCCAGATCGTTGACCAAAAAGAGAAAACTTCTTGGCTCTCTTCATTGATATGTATAGAGACTTTAAACAACTTTTTTTAGGCATAATTTTGTTTCTTGGTTTTCTGGGTTTTGTGGGGGTTTTTTGTCTTGTGTGCTTCTTTTTTGTTTTTTGGGGTTTTTTTTTTTGAGACAGTCTTGTTTTGTCACCCAGGCTGGAGTGCAGTGGTGCAATCCTGGCTCACTGCAACTTTCACCTCCCAGTTTCAAGCAATTCTCTTGCTTCAGCCCCGCAAGTAGCTGGAACTACAGGCACGCGCCATCACAGCCAGCTAATATATTGTTTTGTTGTGTGGTTTTTTTTAAGAGATGGGTTTCATTATGTATCCCAGGATGGTCTAGAACTCCTGGGCTCAAATGATCCGCCCGCCTCAGCCTCCTGCAGTGCTGGGATTATAGGCATGAGCCACCAACCTCATCTCAATATATTGTATTTTTTGTACAGACAGGGTTTGATCATGCTGGCCAGGCTGGTCTTGAACTCCTGACTTCAAGTGATCCACCTGCCTCAGCCTCCCAAACTGCTGAGGTTACAGGAACGAGCCACCACGCTGGACATTTAGGCATAATTTTGACCCACTACAACTTTTTTTTTTTTTTGAGACAGAGTCTTGCTCTGTCGCCCAGGCTGGAGTGCAGTGGTGCGATCTTGGGTCACTGCAACCTCCGCTCCCAGGTTCAAGTGATTCTCCTGCCTCAGCCTTCTGAGTAGCTGGTAATACAGGTATGCACCACCATGCCGGCTAATTTTTGTATTTTTAGTAGAGAACGGTTTTACCGTGATCAAGCTGGTCTCAAACTCCTGACTTCATATTACCGCCTCAGCCTCCCAAAGTGCTGGGATTACAGGTGTGAGCCACCACACCCAGCCAACCTACTACAGTTTGTAATACAGCAGTAGGGAACCTGTTAGTTACCCCTTGATTTAATTTCATCTACCCCTTAGGTTACCAAGAAGTAATCCTGTTTATTTCAGTACTTTTTAAATGCCGCATCTCTGTGACAGTATCATAAGATACCATACCAACAGTGAATGTATACCAACCTCCATTGATTGAGACATTTTTACCCACCATCTCTAGGATAAAATACTTCTTTCATTAAAAACTAAGTATAGGTGGGGTGCAGTAGCTCACGCCTATAATGCTAGCAACTTAGGAGGCTGGGGCAGGCACATCACTTGAGGTCAGGAGTTCAAGACCAGCCTTGCCAACACGGTGAAACTCCATCTCTACAAAAAGTACGAAAATGAGCCAGGCTTGGTGGTGGACTCCTGTAATCCCAACTACTCGGAGGCTGAGGCATGAGAATTGGTTGAATCTGGGAGGCAGAGGTTGAAGTGAGCCAAGATCATGCCACTGCACTCTGGCTTCGGTTTGTCTTTTTAAAAAAAAAAAAAAAGTGTACAGTTTTTAAAGTATTGTATTGTCAAGTAGCAGGTACTAATTAACATATCTTTTATTTGTTTACCGAAATTTACTGGCTTTTTAGCCTGGGCAACATGGTGAGACTCCATTTCTTTCTTTTTTTTTTTTTTGAGGGTTCATTGTTGTCTTTTTTTTTTTTTTTTTTTTTCCCTTCTGCCTTCAGGTGCTAGTATGTTTGTTTGTTTGTCACTTGTTGAGCTGTCTGCATGCCCGGCACATGGGCCAAAGGCTTTCAGACACCCTCTTGGTTAATTCTTAATGCTGAGGTCATGGCAGCATCATTCGTATTCCAAGATAAGTTAGTTAAGTCACGAGATTAAGTAATTTGCCTAGAATTTAACAGTCAGGCAGGGCAGAGTCAAGATTTGAATCCAAGTCTGTTACACTTGAAAGCTCACATAGTGACGACTTAACACCTTGCCTCTTTATTCATCAACATGCTCTATTTCTTCTTTCCCCCTTTTTCCATAGCCAACCACAATATAGGACTGAATTATATGTTGTATCATTAGTTTTATATTTAAATACTTCTATATTTCCTGGCGTTTTAAAATTATTATTTTGAGGCCGGGCGCGGTGGCTCAAGCCTGTAATCCCAGCACTTTGGGAGGCCGAGGCGGGTGGATCACGAGGTCAAGAGATCAAGACCATCCTGGTCAACATGGTGAAACCCCGTCTCTACTAAAAATACAAAAATTAGCTGGGCATGGTGGCGCACGCCTGTAGTCCCAGCTACTAGAGAGGCTGAGGCAGGAGAATTGCCTGAACCCAGGGGGCGGAGGTTGCAGTGAGCCGAGATCGTGCCATTGCACTCCAGCCTGGGTAACAAGAGCGAAACCCCGTCTCAAAAAAAAAAAAAAAAAAAAAAAAAAAAAATTATTATTTTGAGGCTGAATGCAGTGGCTCCCATCCTGTAACCCAGCACTTTGAGAGGCCAAAGCAGGAGGATCACTGAAGGCCAGTAGTTTAAGACTAACAACAAAGTGATACCCTGTCTCTATAAAAAATTATTTTGAGAGCCGGGCGCGGTGGCTCAAGCCTGTAATCCCAGCACTTTGGGAGGCCGAGGCGGGTGGATCACGAGGTCGAGAGATCGAGACCATCCTGGTCAACATGGTAAAACCCCGTCTCTACTAAAAATACAAAAAATTAGCTGGACATGGTGGCGCGTGCCTGTAATCCCAGCTACTCAGGAGGCTGAGGCAGGAGAATTGCCTGAACCCAGGAGGCGGAGGTTGCGGTGAGCCGAGATCGCGCCATTGCACTCCAGCCTGGGCAACAAGAGCGAAACTCCGTCTCAAAAAAAAAAAAAAAAATTATTTTGAGAATAAATAGAATGCTTCCTACCTCTTTAAAAAAGAAAAACTAATTTAAGTTTCTTTTACTTGTACACCAAGCCCATTATTTTAACTACATAGAATGTTTAAGGTTAAGGATATAAAGAATTCAATTCAACGAATATTTGATCACCTATTACAGCCAAGCACTAACTTAACCTAGTATTAAAATCAGTACATTATTCATTACTATTTAAGAAATGTATTTAAAGTCTGACACTCTTGCTTTGTTTAAACCGTAAAGCAAAGTAGATTTCTGTAGTTGAAGAGTTGCTTCTGAAATGTGTCCAAAATAAACTTACTGGCAGATGAAGGTATTCAGATGGATGAGCGAAGGGTTCCCCTCAGTTTTGTCTTGTAAATTACTGTCTGGGATTAACAGTTTTTCTGTTCTTTGTCAGGTCCAATAAAACACTGGCTGATTCTCTGGATAATGCAAACGACCCCAACGATCCCATCGTGAACAGGCTGCTGCGCTCCATGGCCACGCAGGCCATGTCCAATGCTCTGTATTTCTCCACCGGATCCTGTGCGGAGGAGGAGTTCCATCATTATGGTGAATCATACTGTGTTCCTATGTGGGGCTGCAACTTTGAGCTAGTTGTTTTAAAAGATTTCTTGTTTATTTTGATACTTTGCTTTCTTTTTGAAGGTCTTGCATTAGATAAATATACCCACTTCACTTCTCCAATAAGAAGATATTCAGATATTGTAGTACACCGCTTGTTAATGGCAGCCATTTCAAAAGAAAAGAAAATGGAAATTAAGGGAAATTTGTTCAGCAACAAAGATCTTGAGGAATTATGCAGACACATCAACAACAGAAACCGAGTAAGAGGGAATTTCCAAATTCTCTTACCTGTCATCTCTTGCTAACAGAGTATCTGCTTTATTGCATAGCAGAGTGAAGTATCATACATTCTAGCAAATTAAATTCCAGAATTATTCTCACTAGTGCTTTCATTACATTTGCATATGTTCTCAGGTAACTTTTGTGGGTTTGGGAGATTTGACAGTAGGTTATTAGGTTTTTTGCCCCCAAAAGGTGGAAAAAAGATTCACTGTAATCCCAGCATTTTGGAAGGCCGAGACAGACATATCACTTGAGGTCAGGAGTTTGAGACAAGCCTGGCCAATATGGTAAAACCCCAACTCTACCAAAACTATAAAAAACTAGCTGGGCGTGGTGGTGTGTCCCTGTAGTCCCAGCTACTCGGAGAGCTGAGGCAGTAGAATCGCTTGAACCCAGGAGGCAGAGGTTGCAATGAGCCGATATCATGCCACTGTACTCCAGCTGGGGTGACAGAGTGAGAATGCATCTTTAAAAAAAAAAAAAAAAAATATGGGCTGGGCTCTGTAGCTCATGCCTTTAATTGTAGCACTTTGAAGGCTGAGGTGGGAGGATCACCTGAGGTCAGGGGATCAAGACTAGCCTGGCCAACATGGTGAAACCCCGCCTCTACTAAAAATACAAAAATTAGCCAGGCGTGGTGGCACATGCCTGTAATCCCAGCTGCTCAGGAGGCTGAGGCAGGAGAATCACTTGAACCCAGGAGGCGGAGGTTGCAGTGAGCCAAGATCGCACCATTGCACTCCAAGCTGGGCACGCTGAGTGCAGAGTGAGACTCTGTTTCAAAAAACAGAGAAGACAGAAACATCACTTGTCATCTTACTGCCCACGGCTAAGAATTAATGATTCTAGACAGTGCTTAGATTTTTATTTATAAAAATATCATACTATCCCTGTTTGAAATCTTTTTTCATGTAACCGAAATGTTATTGATAGCATACCATGTTACATCATTGTTTTGAAGCTGCTTTCTATTCTATTTCATATTACTAGTTGCTACAAGATTGCCCAGCATAGAACTAGACCATTGGGTAATGCAGGAAATTAGAAACTAACTAAATGTTTAATGTAATTTTCTGTATCCAATGGTATAGTTTGTTTGCTGTGCAGTATTGTAGCATGCCATGTTGGCTACTTAAATTAAAAATTAGAAGTTTGAGGCCGGGCGCGGTGGCTCACGCCTGTAATCCCAGCACTTTAGGAGGCCAAGGCGGGTGGATCACGAGGTCAAGAGATTGAGACCATCCTGGTCAACATGGTGAAACCCCGTCTCTACTAAAAATACAAAAAATTAGCTGGGCATGGTGGCATGTGCCTGTAATCCCAGCTACTCAGGAGGCTGAGGCAGGAGAATTGCCTGAACCCGGGAGGCGGAGGTTGCGGTGAGCTGAGATCGCGCCATTGCACTCCAGCCTGGGTAACAAGAGCGAAACTCCGTCTCAAAAAAAAAAAAAAAAGAAAGACAAGACATGTGTGACACTTTTCCTGTTCCCAAGATGGACATGTCCCAGATCTGCTGACCTCCGATTTCTATAAACTATAAATGGGTTTCATTTTATAAAATAATTCATTTTCTAAGACATTTTGAGGAGATAATACTAGATGGTTAAGTTCTCACAAAAATTACACAATTTTTTTTTTTTTTTTTTTTTTTTTTTGAGACGGAGTTTCACTCTTGTTACCCAGGCTGGAGTGCGATGGCACGGTCTCGGCTCGCCACAACCTCCGCCTCCTGGGTTTAGGCAATTCTCCTGCCTCAGCCTCCTGAGTAGCTGGGATTACAGGCACGCGCCACCATGCCCAGCTAATGTTTCGTATTTTTAGTAGAGACGGGGTTTCACCATGTTGACCAGGATGGTCTCGATGTCTTGACCTTGTGATCCACCTGCCTCAGCCTCCCAAAGTGCTGGGATTACAGGCTTGAGCCACCGCGCCCGGCCATGAATATGAATTTCTTTTCTTCAGGAAATGCCAGGGGAGTGTTATAATGCTTTGGAGTTGTGCTTCTTATAGGCAGCACAGCATTCTCAGAAGCAGTCTATTGAGCTCTTCCAGTGCATGTACTTCAAAGACAAAGACCCTGACACCGAGGAGCGTTGCATATCTGATGGAGTTATTTATTCAGTTCGAACAAATGGTGTGCTTGTATTTATACCAAGGTATGTTAAATCCAACACAATGGTGCATAGGAAATCATAGTTAAACTGAAAGTGTAGAATACAAACCGTATATTAGATATAATTTATTAAACTATTTAAACAGGCTGGGCGCGGTGGCTCATGCCTGTTATCCCAGCACTTTGGGAGGCCAAGGCAGGCAGATCACAAGATCAGGAGTTCATGACTAACCTGACCAACATGGTGAAACCCCATCTCTACTAAAAATCCAAAAATTAGCCGGGCATGGTGACATGCACCTATAATCCCAGCTACTCAGGAGGCTGAGGCAGGAGAATCACCTGAACCCATGAGGCAGAGATGGTAGTGAGCTGAGATCGCACCACTGCAGTCCAGCCTGAGAGCAAGACTCCATCTCAGAAAAACTAAAAAAAAAATTTAAGCAACTTGTTACCATATGTACATAATGTATTGTATAATTCAGAACATAAATGTCAAGATTGGAGGCCAGGAGCAGTGGCTCATGCCAGTAATCCCAGCACTTTGGGAGGCCGAGGTGGGAGAATCACCTGAGGTCAGGAGTTCAAGACCAGCCTGGCCAACATGGAGAAACCCCGTCTCTACTAAAAATACAAAAGTTAGCCAGGCGTGGTGGTGCATGCCTATAATCCCAGCTACTCGGGAGGCTGAGGCAGGAGAACTGCTTCAACCCAGGAGGCAGAGGTTGCAGTGAGCCAAGACTGTGCCATTGCACTCCAGCCTGGGCAACAGAGCAAGACTCTGTCTCAAAAAAAAAAAAAAAGTGAAGATTAGAATACATATGTATATTAATCTATATCCATTTTAGGGTCTTTCTAATCCAGCAAAACACTTTGTTTCCATCTGCTAAGGTGAAATAAATTCTTGGAGGTAAATCACAGGAAAAGTGATTTGTTTTTAATCTAGGAGAAAAACTAGTATTCTAGATAAGCATATGAGATCTGTGTACAGCCAGGCATGGTGGCTCACGCCTGTAATCCCAGCACTTTGTGAGGCCAAGGCAGGCGGATCACGAGGTCAAGAGATCAAGACCATCCTGGCCAACATGATGATGAAACCCCGTCTCTACTAAACTACAAAAAGAAAAAAAAAATAAGCTGGGTGTGGTGGCGCACGCCTGTAGTCACAGCTCCTTGGGAAGGCTGGGGCAGGAGAATTATTTGAACCTGGGAGGGAGAGGTTGCTGTGAGCTGAGACTGCGCCACTGCACTCCAGCCTGGCACCTGGCAACAAAACAAGACTATCTCAAAAAAAAAAAAAAAAAAAAAAAAAAAAATCTGTGTACTAAGAATACATTGTCTCTGGATTTATATCCTGGCCAAAATACAGGTTTGGGATTAAAGGTGCTGCTTATCTAAAAAATAAAGATGGTTTAGTCATCTCATGTGGCCCAGACAGCCGTTCTGAATGGAAACCAGGATCCCTTCAACGATTTCAAAACAAAATTACCTCTACTACAACAGATGGGGAATCTGTTACATTTCATTTGTTTGACCATGTAACCGTAAGTCTATATTTCTGTTAAGTATTATTAATATTTTAAATGCAAAGAACAAATAGTATGATTTAGTAATGTATTTCCTTCTCTATGCTAGGTAAGAATATTCATACAGGCCTCACGCTGCCATTCTGATACCATCCGACTTGAAATAATAAGTAACAAACCATACAAGATACCAAATACAGAACTTTTTCACCAGAGTTCCGCCTTGCTGAAGAGTGAGTTAGTGAAAGAAGTAACTAAATCTGTGGAAGAAGCTCAGCTTGCCCAAAAAGTCAAAGTAAACATCATTCAGGAAGAATATCAAGAATATTGTCAAACAAAGGGAAGGAGCCTATACGCACTTCTAGAGGAGATAAAGGACCTAGCTCTCCTGGATGTTTCAAACAATTATGGAATATGAAAGACTCTTACTTCACTAAGCTGTCACATGTGAATCTTTTACAGTCTTTTCAAACCTAACATTTAATATGTGTCACTCTAGTCGATCAGGACTGGGTAACTATTTCACATACATGTAAAATGTTCTCTTACTCATTAAACTTGCATTAAATGAAGTATAATTAGGTCACTTTGTTAACTGAGTTTTCAGTAATGAGTGGACAGTAAATGGTGGCTCTGCAGATTGCTAGCCCCCCCCTTTTTTTTTTTTTTTTTTTGAGATGGAGTTTCACTCTTGTTACCCAGGCTGGAGTGCAATGGCCCGATCTCGGCTCACCGCAACCTCCGCCTCCTGGGTTCAGGCAATTCTCCTGCCTCAGCCTCCTAAGTAGCTGGGATTACAGGCACGCGCCACCATGCTCAGCTAGTTTTTTGTATTTTTAGTAGAGACGGGGTTTCACCATGTTGACCAGGATGGTCTCGATCTCTCGACCTCGTGATCCACCCGCCTCAGCCTCCCAAAGTGCTGGGATTACAGGCTTGAGACACCGTGCCCGGCTGCTAGCCCCTTTTTAATAATTTTAATAAACCCAAAATTATTGGTTATCTTGTCTCAAAGTTCTTTTGAATGTTTTATTTTTTCCAGTAATTACTAATCCATTTGGGTCATAGGACAAATGGACTTTGACATCTGTCCAGTAATTTTTAGTCACTTTCAGATAGTAAGACTTAGTCCTGAGTCCACCTCTCCACTTAAAAACTCCTGTTTCCGGCTGGGCGCGGTGGCTCACGCCTGTTATCCCAGCACTTTGGGAGGCCGAGGCGGGTGGATCACAAGGTCAAGAGATCGAGACCATCCTGGTCAACATGGTGAAACCCCGTCTCTACTAAAAATACAAAAATTAGGTGGGCAGGGTGGTGCACGCCTGTAGTCCCAGCTACTCTGGAGGCTGAGGCAGGAGAATTGCTGAACCCAGGAGGCGGAGGTTGCGGTGAGCCGAGATCACCCCATTGCACTCCAGCCTGGGTAACAAGAGCGAAACTCCGTCTCAAAAAACAAAACAAAACAAAACTCCTGTTTCCTATTTGGCTCAACCCTTCCCTGCTGTCTCCAGTACTAGTTGGGAATAGGACACAGGCCAGGTGGTAGGGTGTGCAGGGAAAGTTCTGTCACAGGTCTCCCTTCCCACCCTCCCACCTGGAGGAGGTGCACTGACCTTCCCCTTGTTGGAAACATGTTACTTTGCCAGCAAACCCCCTACTAGAAAAATTAACTCTTGGCTGGGCACTGTGGCTCACACCTATAATCCCAGCACTTTGGGAGGCTGAGGCAGGTGGATCATGAGGTCAGGAGTTCAAGACCAGCCTGGCCAAGATGGTGAAACCCTGTCTCTACTAAAAATACAAAAAAAAATTAGCCAGGCATGGTCACAGGCACCTGTAATCCCAGCTACTCGGGAGCCTGAGGCAAAGAATTGCTTGAACCTGGAAGGCGAACGTTACAGTGAGCCGAGATTGCCCCACTGTACTCCAGCCTGGGCAACAGAGTGAAACTGTTGTCTCAAAAAAGTTTAACTCTTCTTTCTCGGTTATTTAATACAGTTTTGTGAGGGTAGAGAGAAGCAGGAATAGGCCCTCTTGAGGAAGCAGTTTCTGTAGGCATTCGTGGCACCTTGAAACTGCTCTCCATCTTCTAGCTGATCCCCTACTGGCTGTAGGTACCAACAGTTCTCCTGATAAACATGCCTCTTGGCCCGTCCCTGTGGCAGTTCCCAGCAGGCCCACAATCCCCTCCCCTACCTCATCCCAGAGGTTATCCTTGTGCTTAACTTCCTGGCTTTTCAATCAAACCATCTTTTTCACTCCCTATCCCCACCTGAAGTCAGAAACCCTGAAGAAAAGACACCTGCGTGTCCTGGCTTTGTAGATGTAAGCCACTAAAGCACCATCATTCTCCCCTTTCCCCAAGGGAAAAGAAGGTGAGAGGCCAAGTGCCATGGAAGATCACTTGAGGCCAGGAGTCCAGGACCATCCTGGTCAACATAGTGAGACACCATCTACAAAAATTTAAAAATTAGCCAGGCATGGTGATACATGCCTGCAGTCGCAGCTACTTGGGAAGCTAAGGCAAGAGGATAGCTTGGGCCCCAGGACTTTCAGGCTGCAGTAACTGGGCCACTATTCCAGCCTAAGTGACAGTGAGACACACACACACCCACCCCCTCCAATCAAGTCGTCTCGCAATTTGGCCCTAACGCTTCTAGCCTCAAAATCAGCATTCCTAAAATCTCCCTTATCCCCTCAATCGTTATTTATCATTATTGTACAAGTGCTTCCCAATACTTGGAATCTCCTCCACCAAATGCAGTCTTTCCTATGAATCCTCCTTAGATGCTATGTTCCCCATGATACTTTACAAGTTTCACTCCAACTAGTCAGTAAGTTATCAAAAAGCATTCTTTGAACTACCCTATTTCCTACAAGAGCCAGGCAATATATAAGCCTTTCATGTGACCTTTTAAATTAAAACAATTCCTTAAAAAACATGTAAAAGCCTATATTTACCAAAAGTATAAACTCCAGAACTAAATAGCAATGAAAACCCATAAAGCCTGTAGATAGCTTTTAAGATAATTTTTACTTCCTTGAAAAAAATTGACATTAATATTCAATATATATGTACATGTTAAAACTTCACCCAGGCTACTCTGGGTACACTGTCCATGGGTTAGCCCTGCTCTGCAAGGAGCAGTAAAAAACAAAAACAAAACCTCCCAAAATTAGTGAAAACAAAGCATTCAATAACCGATGAGCAGCAGAAGAAACTGCTTATTACCAACTAATCATTTTATGAAGAAATACCTACATAAAAACAAACACTAAAGAGAACAGATTTAACTAAAGGGACAAGCATAATTATAAACAAATACCAGATTACGAGATTTTAAACAATAATCTGTAAAAATGTTTTACTACCTAAGGATTTTCACTCAAAGAAGAAAAATGCATAGTAACACCAAGCTTGCAGGATGGTGAGTTAACAGACACATTTTCTCTTAATGGAAACCTAACCAGCTTCAGCAGTATTTCTGGATGAAGCATCAAGTTACTGTTGCACATTTTTAAGATTGGTCCAGGAGTGTTTCCCCTAATTTTAATTCCTCCTCTGCATTTAAAGTATTAGTATGATTACATGAATTGTCTACAATGTCTTCTTTTAATCCATTTGACTCCTCCTTTTGATCCTCATCCGTATTAAGCTCTTCAACTGTCTGTGCCCTGGGTATGTTCATTAATGTATCTGAAAGAAATCATACCATTATTATTCATTATAAGTACCTGATCCAATCTTACCACATAAGAACAAACCTCTACAAAAGCTTAGTTTAATAAAATAAAATCTATGATCACTTAATGTTAATGATGATCACTTTCTTCTAAATAAACCTTTTTTTTTTTTTTTTTTGAGATGGAGTCTCACTCTGTCACCTGGCTGAAGCGCAATGGCGCAATATTGGCTCACTCCAACCTCTGCTTCCTGGGTTTAAGCGATTCTCCTACCTCAGCCTCCCAAGTAACTGGGATTACAGGCGTTCACCAACACACCTAGCTAATTTTTATATTTTTAGTAGAGACGGGGTTTCACTATTTGGCCAGGCTTGTCTCAAACTCTTGACCTCAGGTGATCCGCCCACCTCAGCCTCCCAAAGTGCTAGGATTACTGGCATGAGCCACCACGCCTAGCCAATAAACCCATGTTTATACATCTATAAGATCCATTTGAAACGTAAAAGAGGCCAGGTCCAATCCAAACACTTTGGGAGGCTGAGGTAGGAGAATCACTTGATCTCAGGAGTTCAAGACCAGCCTGGGCCACACAGTGAGACCCCCATCTCAACAAAACATCAAAAAAGAAAAAAATTAGCTGGGTGTGGTGGTGAACTGTAATCGCACCACTGCACTCCAGCCTGAGTGACAAAGTGAGACTCTGTCGCCAAAAAGAAAAAAAGCAAAAGGATTTTTGAATGTTATTAAACTCACACTCTCGGATCATAGTCAAATTTAACTGTTCTCATTCAAAATCAAAACTACCCCTGGCTGGGCACAGTGGATCATACCTGTAATCTTAACATGTTGGGAGGCCAAGGCAGGCAGATCACTCAAGGCTAGGAATTCGAGACCAGCCTGGCCAATAAGGTGAAACCCCATCTCTACAAAAAATACAAAACTTGCATGCAGTTTGGCCCTTGAAAGGGTCTTTCCTCACCCAGGCTGTAGTGCGGTGGCCCTTTGAGGCTCACCACAGCCTCAAACTCCTGGGCTCAAATGATCCTCGGCCTCCCAGTGGACTTTGTAGACAGCCTGATATGGAGTCTCAAGAAGATTAAAAAATGTCTCCAATTTCAATAAATGGCTGCAATCCAAAAAAAAAAAAAAAAAAAAAAAAATACAAAACTTAACCGGGTGTGATGAAGCACACCTGTAATCCCAGCTACTCGGGAGGCTAAGGCAGGAGAATCACTTGAACCTGGCAGGTGGAGGCTGCAGTGAGCCAAGATCAGCCACTGCACTCCAGCCAGGGTGACAGAAAAAGGCTACATCTTAAAAAAAAAAAAAAAGCAAAACTACGAGAAAGAGGTCTAATAAAAATGAAATACGTTTAAGTTGTATGTCAGAGTGATCCATAAGAAACTTTAAGGTACTTATTTCCATTTGGACAAATTTTAAGTTGTATATGATAAACAAAAGGTGAGCTTTAAATACCAATTGCCACGTATACTTGATATTGACAGCAAAGAAGCCACTGCCATCAAGAATGATGCTATCTTCATGTAATGTTTCACATAGTACTAATAAAACATCCAATTATAAAGAAAAAGTAAATTCAGCCAGGCGCAGTGGCTAATGTGTGTAATCCCAGCACTTTGGGAGGCTAAGGTGGGTGGATCATGAGGTCAGGAGTTCAAGACCAGCCTGGCCAACACAGTGAAACCCCATTCCTACTAAAAATACAAAAATTAGCCAGGTGGGCCGGGCGCGGTGGCTCAAGCCTGTAATCCCAGCACTTTGGGAGGCCGAGGCGGGTGGATCACGAGGTCGAGAGATCGAGACCATCCTGGTCAAAATGGTGAAACCCCGTCTCTACTAAAAATACAAAAAATTAGCTGGGCGTGGTGGCACGTGCCTGTAATCCCAGCTACTCAGGAGGCTGAGGCAGGAGAATTGCCTGAACCCAGGAGGCGGAGGTTGCGGTGAGCCGAGATCGCGCCATTGCACTCCAGCCTGGGTAACAAGAGCGAAACTCCGTCTCAAAAAAAAAAAAAAAAAATTAGCCAGGTGTGGTGACACCACTCAGGAGGAGGAGCCTACTCAGGAGGCTGAGGCAGGGTTATTGCTTGAACCTGGGAAATCTGGGAGGCAGAGGTTGCAGTGAGCCAAGATCGCACCACTGCACTACAGAGTGAGACTCCGTCTCAAAAAAAAAAAAAGAAAGAAAGAAAATTCAACCTAACTGGGGAAAAAAAAAAAAGGTAGCCAAAATAATTTTCACTTGAAATTTTTGGTTTTTTTTTAGACGGAGTTTCGCTCTTGTTACCCGGGCTGGAGTGCAATGGGGCAATCTCGGCTCACCGCAACCTCTGCCTCCTGGGTTCAGGCAATTCTCCTGCCTCAGCCTCCTGAGTAGCTGGGATTACAGGCATGTGCCACCATGCCCAGCTAATTTTTTGTATTTTTAGTAGAGATGGGGTTTCACCATGTTGACCAGGATGGTCTCGATCTCTCGACCTCATGATCCACCCGCCTCGGCCTCCCAAAGTGCTGTGATTACAGGCATGAGCAACCGCGCCCGGCCTCACTTGAAAATTTTAATATACTGGGTGTAACTTTTTTTTTGAGACACAGTTTCGCTCTTGTTGCCTAGGCTAGAGTATTAGGTAATGGCGCCATTTCAGCTCACCACAACCGCCGTCTCATGAGTTTAAGCAATTCTCCTGCCTCAGCCTCCTGAGTAGCTGGGATTATAGGCATGCGTTACCACACACACTGCTAATTTTGTATTTTTAAGTAGAGATGGGGTTTCTCCATGTTGGTCAGGCTGGTCTTGATCTCCCAACCTCAGGTGATCTGCCTGCCTCAGCCACTCAAAGTGCTGAGATTACAGGTGTGAGCCACCACACCCAACCCGGATGAAGCTTCTTTTACAACATGGTATCTACTTATTATTATTATTATTTGTAGAGACAGGGACTCTGTTGCCCAAGTTAGTCTTGAACTTCCAGGCTCAAGTGATCTGCCTGCCTCAGCCTCCCAAAATGCTGGGATTACAGGCAAGAGGCACTGTGCTGGGCCTATAATTCTTATTTTTCCATTTTGAAAGGAAAAACTGAATTGGAAATTGAGAAAAATATATGCAATCTGCTTACTTCATTCAAAACCAGCTTGCAATTCTTTCTAAATATAGTTTTAACAAACTTGGTTATGTAGTTTCCAAACCCACAATCTGTGTTAAAAACAGCAAATTTATATCCTGATATTACTGGTATTCACAAAGAGAAAGAAAAAAAAAAAAAAAAAAAAAAAGCAAATTTAGGCCAGGTACAGTGGCTCACACCTATAATCGCAGCACTTTGGGAGGCCAACACTGAAGGACTGCTTGAGACCAGAAGTTCAAGGCTGCAGTGAGTCAAGATCACACCACTGCACTCTAGCCAGGGTGACAGATTGAGAACGTTTCTAAAAATAGTCGTCATAATATATTTTTAAATAAAACTAATTTTGAGGCAGTTTTAGAAGTGAGATGGGGATGCTCTACAGATGGGCAAATTAAACAGCTACTTCTAAAAGTACAGCTAACAGGCCGGGCGCGGTGGCTCAAGCCTGTAATCCCAGCACTCTGGGAGGCCGAGGCGGGTGGAACACGAGTTCAAGAGATCGAGACCATCCTGATCAACATGGTGAAACCCGTCTCTACTAAAAATACAAAAAATTAGCTGGGCATGGTGGCACGTGCCTGTAATCCCAGCTACTTAGGAGGCTGAGGCAGGAGAATTGCCTGAACCTAGGAGATGGAGGTTGCGGTGAGCCGAGAGATTGCGGTGAGCCGAGAGATTGCGCCATTGCACCCCAGCCTGGGTAACAAGAGCAAAACTCCATCTCAAAAAAAAAAAAAAAAACAAAAATAAAAGCAAACAAACAAAAAAAAGTACCGCTAACAAGTGACGAAACACAAGAAAAAGCATTATTTGAGGGGGAGAGGGACAGAGTCTCACTCCGTCGCCCAGGTTGGAGTGTAGTGGCGTGATCTCAGCTCACTGCAGCCTCCGCCTCTGGGGTTTAAGTGATTCTCCTGCCTCAGCCTCTGGAGTAGCTGGGATTACAGGCACACACCACCATGCCTGGCTAATTTTCATATTTTTAGTAGAGATGGGGTTTTACCATGTTGGCCAGGATGGTCTCGATTTCCTGACCTCATGATCCACCCACCTTAGCCTCCCAAAGTACTGGGATTACAGGCATGAGCCAATTCGCCTGGCCTCTTTTGTTTATTTATTTATTTATTTTTTTGAGACAGAGTTTTGCTCTTGTCACCCAGGCTGGAGTGCAATGGGACAATCTCAGCTCACTGCAACCCCTGCCTCCTGGGTTCAAGCAATTCTCCTGCCTCAGCTTCCCAAGTAGCTGGGATGACAGGCACACATCACTATGCCTAGTTAATTTTTATATTTTTAGTAGAGACGGGGTTTCACCATGTTGGCCAGGTTAGTCTTGAACGCCTGACCTCAGGTGATCCTCCCACCTAGGCCTTCCAAAGTGCTGGGATTACAGGCATGAACCACTGTGCCCAGCCAAGTGATTAAAATAATTTTTTAAGAGGTACTCAGCTATCCAGAAAACCATCATGGATTTATCTATTCTTTGAGAAACACATACATTGTCTCTCTCTTCTCTCACACACATTGTCTCTAAAATATACATAAACTTAGTATCACACTTTTCTACTCCTAGAAGTATTTCATTTTGGGGGCTAGCAACGAAGTTAAAATTTCTAACATGTCCTTTATATATTAACAGTAGCACATACAATCTGGCATAAAATTTACCATTTCCTAGGGACTGACTATTACTCAGCAGCTTTGCCTGCCTTCTTTCCAAGGCCAGCTGTTTATTTCTCTCAATTCTTTGTTGCTGCTCTTCTGTTAGGCTTTTACTTGATTCAGAAGCAAACATCTCACTTTCAGATGAGTTTGTCAAAAAGGGATCTAATTCACTAGCAGTTGCATCATGTTCATTATTTTCCATAACTTCACCTGCAGTAGGAAAGAAAAAGTTGGTACATGTATAGCGTTAGATTACTTACAGAAAGGCTTTTCACTGAAAAAGGATTTAAAGTGGCAAGGTGCCAGACCTGAAGAAACAATTTGTGAGGTATAAGAATGTTGTGAATACATGCTTGATTCAAATAACTAAGAAATACGTATAAATCACTTTGAAGAAGCATGTTAAGTCAAATGAAAATACAATTTAAAATATACATGAAAGGAAACAAAACTTATTGGTTGTAATTAGAGATAAAAGAGCTTAAAGAATCCAAACCACATTCTTGTTCTATATTAAACCATTTCAATAGTTTGCCACAATGTCTATATGGGAAAAGATAATTTTATTTTCTTTTTGAGATGGAGTTTCACTCTTGTCACCCAGGCTGGAGTGCAATGGCTTGATCTCGGCTCACTGAAACCTCCACCTCCCAGGTTCAAGCAATTCTCCTTCATCAACCTCCTGAGTAGCTGGGATTACAGCTGCCTGCCACCACACCCAGCTAGTTTTTGTATTTTTAATATAGACAGGGTTTCACCATGTTGGCTAGGCTGGTCTCAAACTTCTGACCTCAGGTGATCCACCTGCCTCAGCTTCCCAAAAAGTGCTGCAATTAATTATAAGTGTGACCCACCACATCTGGCCAGTAAAAAGTAATTTTATGTAGGACATTATCTTTTGTAGGGTAAAACAGACAAATGGAAAATGAAAAGTTTAAAAAAATCTATGGACATATTTCCAAATTAATTTCTTTTTAAATTCAATGTGGTCTACATTACAAGTATTAAATTCTTTTTTTTTTGAGACAGAGTCTTGTTTTGTCACCAAGCGCCAGGCGGGAGTGCAGTGGCATGATCTCTGCTCACTACAACCTTCGCCTCCCATGTTCAAGCAATTCTCCTGCCTCAGCCTCCCAAGTAGCTGGGACTACAGACGCGCACCGCCACGCCCAGCTAACTTTTTATATTTTAGTAGAGACGGGGTTTCACTATGTTGGCCAGGGTGGTCTTGATCTCTTGACCCCGTGATACGCCCACCTCGGCCTCCCAAAGTGCTGGGATTACACCGCGCCCAAATATTAAATTCTTAAAGCCCTGTAAACCAGTTAACTCAGGTAGGATGTCACCACATGATTTACAGTAGTAGGGAAAGTAAATAATAGATCTTTCATTTATATTTCATTTAAGAATTAAGAAAAACTATGTTTTACTAACATATTTAAAGTAAGACTGGCAGCAGTTAACTGTCCCTTGTCCTTATGACAGAGTTACTGTCTGATTTGTGAGCCACTCTATAGGCAAGATCCATATTGCAAAAGGGTGGAGAATGGGGCCCCCACTCAATTTACAATTTCAGACATACAGCTATTTCTGATTACCCAGTCAAGTAAACATGGATTTCATCTTACTTTAACCAAACAACCCCAACAAAATGCACAAGTGGCAACTTAAAAAGACAGCTGGACGCAGTGGATGACACCTGGAATCCCAGTACTTTGGAAGGCTGAGGTGCGCGAATCACGAGGTCAGGAGTCTGAGACCAGCCTGGCCAACACAGTGAAACCCCATCTCTACTAAAAATAGAAAAACTTAGCTGGGCATGGTGGCAGGCCCCTGTAATCCCAGCTACTCAGGAGGCTGAGGCAGGAGAATTGCCTGAACCCAGGAAGCAGAGGTTGCAGTGAGCCGAGATCGCACCATTGCATTCCAGCCTGGGTAACAAGAGCGAAACTCCGTGTCAAAAAAAAAAAAAAAAACTGGCCAAAATGGTAAAACCTTGTATCTAATAAAAGTACAAAAATTAGCTGGGTGTGATGGCAAACTCCTGTAATCCCAGCTACTCAGCAGGCTGAGGCAGAACACTTGCTTGAACCAGGGAAGCAGAGGTTGCAGTGAACCAAGATCATGCCACTGCACTCTAGCCTGAGTGACAGAGCAAGACTCCATCTCAAAAAAAAAGATTCTACAAAATAACAAAATGCCTGTAAGTAGAACAGAAGCACAAGGAAAAAATAAAACAGCAAAGCTGACACTTTACTTTCTATTTGTATCATCCACATGATGAAATTAAAAAAAAAAAAAAAACCATCACATCTGACAAGTTGGTCAAACAATTCTGGTCACCATTTGAAATACGTTTATATATATTATCCTTGTTCTATGTATATATTATGCCTTGAGATATTAGCTAATTATAGAAACATACTACAACTTAAAAAACATTTAAAACATAAAGACAAACCTTTACAATTATTTCAGTGAGATTTAAAAATCACATGCTACTTAATTCAGCCTTTTTTGTCTTTTTTTTTTTTTTTTTCCTTTTTGTGGAGAACAGGGTCTCGCTATATTGCCCAGGCAGGTCTCGAACTCCTGGGCTCAAGCTATCCTCCCGCCTCTGCCTCCCTAAGAGCTGGGATTACAGGAGTGAGCCACAGCGCCCGGCCAATTCAGCCTTTTACAATCAAACTCCCTTTTAAGGTTTCTTACTTAGTAGTAAAATATGAAAAGCCACTTTTCCTTCCTGACATCAAAAAAAATGAAGCAAGAAACTAAAATGGCTTCCATTGTCAGGAAATACTGATAGAGTACATGTACGAAACACTGATGAAGCAGTTAAAAAATAAGCATTAGAGCCGGGCGCGGTGGCTCAAGCCTGTAATCCCAGCACTTTGGGAGGCCGAGACGGGTGGATCACGAGGTCAAGAGATCGAGACCATCCCGGTCAACATAGTGAAACCCCGTCTCTACTACAAATACAAAAAATTAGCTGGGCCATGGTGGCGCGTGCCTGTAATCCCAGCTACTCAGGAGGCTGAGGCAGGAGAATTGCCTGAACCCAGGAGGCGGAGGTTGCGGTGAGCCGAGATCGTGCCATTGCACTCCAGCCTGGGTAACGAGAGCGAAACTCCGTCTCAAAAAAAAAAAAAAAAAAAAAAATAAGCATTAGAACCACTTACGAGCCGGGCACGGTGGTCACACCTGTAATCCCAGCACTTTGGGAGACTGGGAGGCAGGGGGTAGATCACCTGAGGTCAGGAGTTCAAGACCAGCCTGATCAACATGGAGAAACCCCATCTCTACTAAAAATACAAAATTAGGGCTAGGCACGGTGGCTTACACCTGTAATCCCAAGACTTTGGCAGGCCAAGGCAGGTGGATCATGAGGTCACAAGGTGAGACCATCCTGAGCAACATGGTGAAACCCCATCTCTACTAAAAATACAAAAAAATTAGCTGGATGTGGTGGCAGACGCCTGTAGTCCCAGCTACTTGGGAGGCTGAGGCAGGAGAATCACTTAAACCCAGGAGTTGGAGGCTGCTGTGAGCTGAGATCACGCCACTGCACTCCAGCCTGTCGACAGAGTGAGACTCCATCTCAAAAAAAAAAAAAAAAATACAAGTACAAATACAAAATTAGCCAGGTGTGGTGGCACATGCCTGTAATCCCAGCTACTCAGGAGGCTGAGGCAGGAGAATAGCTTGAACCCAGGAGGTGGAAGTTGCAGTGAGCCGAGATCATGCCATTGCACTCCATCCTGGGCAAGGAGAGTGAAACTCCGTCTCAAAATAAAAAAACACTTACGAAACATATGGGGTTTTTAGGCCAGGCTCGCTGGTTCACACCTATAATACCAGCACTTTGGGAGGCTGAGGTGGGCAAATCACGAGGTCAAGGGATTGAGACCAACCTGGCCAACATGGTGAAACCCTGTCTCTACTAAAAATACAAAAATTTGTCAGGTGTGGTGGCATGCGCCTGTAGTCCCAGCTACTCAGGAGGCTGAAGCAGGAGGAATCACCTGAACCCAGGAAGCAGAAGTCACAGTGAGCCAAGATCATGCCATTGCACTCCAGCCTGGGCAAAAGGAGTGAAACTCCGTCTCAAAAAAAAAAAAGATAAATTAACATGGACCATTCAGAGAATTAAAAGCATGCAGAAATACAGGGTACAAATAAGGGAACTGAATCTGAGATTTTTGTTTGTTGTGCGACATACTTCATTTGTATCTTAATAGTCCCCAAAATTTTTTCATCAGGCACCACAAAAGTGAAAATGTTTTTCTTTTTTAAGCCTACGGCTCCCCGGTATTCCCAGGCAGTCTCCCATCCAAGTACTAATCAGGCCCAACCCTGCTTTGCTTCTGAGTTCTGACAAGAGGGCACGTTCAGGGTGGTATGGCTGTAGACGTGAAAATGTTTTGACCATTTTGTTTATTAAATATTTACTTCTGTACTGATATAATTTGTAATGTACTTTTGTTTCTCCTGCCTCGGCCTCTCAGTAGCTGGGATTACGGCTGTGTGTCACTGCGCCCAGCTAATTTTTGTATTTTTAGTAGAGACAGGGTTTCATCACGTTGGCCAGGCTGGTCTCCAACTCCTGATCTCAGGTAAATCTGCCTGCCTCAGCCTCCTAAAGTGCTGGAATTACAGCTGTGAGCCAGTGAGCCACTGCACAAGGCCTAAATTTAATTTTTGCAGTGACAGGATCTCACTATTTTGCCCAGGCTGATCTCTATCTCCTGGCCTCAGTCTGCCTTGGTCTCCCAACATGCTGGGATTACAGGTGGGAGCCACTGTGCTTGGACTCAGCTGTTCCTTGGACATCTCAGACACACTTCTATTCTAAGGCTTTTGTATTATTATGCTCTGCCTGGAACATTCTTCCCTCGTACCCCTCAAGTCTGTATGACTGTCTTACAGTCTTGAAACTGCTCAAATGACAACTAGTGAAGCCTCCCCACTTCACTGTTGCAGGCGCATCTGCACTCCCATCATTTCTTTTTTTTTTTCAGAGACGGAGTTTCGCTCTTGTTACCCAGGCTGGAGTGCAATGGCGCGAATCTCGGCTCACCGCAACCTCCACCTCCTGGGCTCAGGCAATTCTCCTGCCTCAGCCTCCTAAGTAGCTGGGATTACAGGCAGGCGCCACCACGCCCAGCTAGTTTTTTGTATTTTTAGTAGAGACGGGGTTTCACCATGTTGACCAGGATGGTCTCGATCTCTTGACCTCATGATCCACCCACCTCGGCCTCCCAAAGTGCTGGGATTACAGGCTTGAGCCACCGCTGCCCAGCCTACTCCCATCATTTCTGACTCCCCTGTGCTGTTTCCTTTTTCACTGCACTTAATTCCCTTTAATTTTTATATAGTTTACTAATGTTTTAGTTTGTCTTTACAACGATGGCATTCTGTAACACACTGAGTATTCTGGCTTTAGCTTCTTTGCCATAATCACTTGCCAATGAGCGTTGTAGTAAATACATTTCATGTATACTTTTTTTTTTTTTGAGACGGAGTTTCGCTCTTGTTACCCAGGCTGGAGTGCAATGGCGCGATCTCGGCTCACCGCAACCTCCGCCTCCCGGGTTCAGGCAATTCTCCTGCCTCAGCCTCCTGAGTAGCTGGGATTACAGGTTCACGCCACCATGCCCAGCTAATTTTTGTATTTTTAGTAGAGACGGGGTTTCACCATGTTGACCAGGTTGGTTTCGATCCCTCGACCTTGTGATCCACCCGCCTCAGCCTCCCAAAGTGCTGGGATTACAGGCTTGAGCCACCGTGCCCGGCTATGTATACTTTTTTTTTGAGAGTTTCACTCTTGTTGCCCAGGCTGGAGTGCAATGGCACCATCTCAGCTCACCACAACCTCCGCCTCCTGGGTTCAAGCAATTCTCCTTTTCTCAGCCTCCTGAGTAGCTGGGATTACAGGCATCCGCCACCACGCCCAGCTAATTTTGTATTTTTTACTAGAGACAGGGTTTCTCCATGTTCGTCAGGCTGGTCTCGAACTCCCAACCTCAGGTGATCCGCCTGCCTCCGCCTCCCAAAGTGCTGGGATTACAGGCATGAGCCACCATGCCCGGCCTCATGTGTACTTCTAATTTTTAAAAATTTCATTTTATTTTTATTTACTTATTTATTTTTGAGGTAGGGTCTCATTCTGTCACCCAGGGTAGAGCACAGTGACGTGCGTGATCACAGCTCTCTGAAACTTCAACATCCCAGGCTTAAGCAATCTTCCCACCTCACTCAGCCTCCTGAGTAGTTTGGACTACAGGCGTGCACCAACTGCCTGGCTAAGTTTTTTATTTCTTTGTAGAGACAGGGTCTCCATGTTTCACAGGCCGGTTTCAAACTCCTAGGCCCATGTGCTCCACCCACCTCAGCCTCCCAAATGCAAGGATTACAAGCCTGAGCCACTGAGCCTGTCCTTTTTTTTTTTTTTTTTTTAAACTGCCGTAGAATATAGAGCCTGAAATCCATGTTAATTTATACCTCTGCATAGGTGGCTCCCCCATCCAAAATCACCTCTGCCTGGCCTCTAATGCTCATTCAAAATACTTTTTTTTTTTTTTTTTTTTGAGACGGAGTTTCGCTCTTGTTACCCAGGCTGGAGTGCAATGGCGCGATCTCGGCTCACCGCAACCTCCGCCTCCTGGGTTCAGGCAATTCTCCTGCCTCAGCCTCCTGAGTAGCTGGGATTATAGGCACGCGCCACCATGCCCAGCTAATTTTTTGTATTTTTAGTAGAGACGGGGTTTCACCATGTTGACCAGGTTGGTCTCGATGTCTCGACCTTGTGATCCACCCGCCTCGGCCTCCCAAAGTGCTGGGATTACAGGCTTGAGCCACCGCGCCCGGCAAAATACTTTTCTTTTTAATTTCCTTTTTCTTCTTCCCACCCCCAAATCAAAATTCTTCTGAAACCTCCTTTGTGAAGCTCTTCTTCCAACCCCAGGGACTTGTCATATGCTCTCCTTTGTATCCCACCCTGTGACCTACTCATACCTCTAATTATAACACCTACCACACTACTGGCAACGTTGTATGACGTAAAATATAAAAACAAACATGTATGGATCCATCGCACAGAAAATCTGATAACTATACAGACTCTGTCGGCAGGAACCATCTGTTTTGATGTGTGTGACCGTCTATGGTTGCACTGTACAACTAACAAATGCAATCAATACCAGGAACAGTCACATAGATCTCACTAAAGTCCTATATTCGAGAGCTGCACTCTAAGTGAAACACAAACTTTCATCAAATTATTTTGCCTAATTTTCCAGTATCACTTTATCCAACGGTGTATACATATATGAACACTTTATCTTGATATATATTTTTATTAACAAACGCTATATACGATTGGTGGGTCACCAGAGTTCTCAAAAGCTTATATTCTGCAACAAATTTGATGTACCAAGGCTTTTTTTTTTTGAGACAGAGTCTCACTCTGTCATCCAGGCTGGAGTGCAGCCACACAATCTCAGCTCACTGCAACCTCCCATCTCCTGGATTCAAGCAACTCTCCTGCCTCAGTCTCCTGAGTAGCTGGGATTACAGATGTACACCACCCTGTCCAGCTAATTTTTGTATTTTCAGTACAGACGGGGTCTCCCCACGTTGGCCAGGCTGGTCTCAAACTCCTGACCTCAAGTGATCTGCCCACCTCAGCCTCCCAAAGTGCTGGGATTATAGGCATGAGCCACTGCATCCAGTCTACTACCAAGGCATTTTAACACACCTATTTATTGTACTTTACCATACATTAATAAAATACAATATGGAGTAAGGATCCACTGCCTCCTCTAACTACTTCTATTCTTTTTTTTTTTTTTCCCAGACAAGGTCTCACCCTATTCCCCAGGCTAGAATATAGTGGTGTGACCTGGTTCACTGCAGCCTTGAATTCCTGGGCTCAAGTGATCTTCCCGCCTCAAGCCCCTGAGTAACTTTTAAAAATTTTTTGGAGACGGAGGTCTCACTAGGTTGCCCAGGCTGGTCTTGAACTCCAGGATTCAAGTAATCCTCCCTCCATGGCCTCTCAAAGAACTGGGGTTGATCCAAAGGTAGTGAGTTATCTCCATTCACAGTCAGTTACAAATCAAACTCCTTGTTCTACTCTTTCCTCCCTTTTCACTACTGCACTTGACTAGTCATTTATTTTATTTTATTTTATTTTTTTGAGATGAAGTTTCACTCTCGTTGCCCAGGCTGGAGTGTGTAATGCTGCGATCTCAGCTCACCACAACCTCCACCTCCCAGGTTCAAGCAATTCTCCTGCCTCAGCCTCTCAAGTAGCTGGGACTACAGGCATGCACCACTATGCTCAGTTAATTTTGTATTTTTAATAGAGATGAGGTTTCTCCATGTTGCTCAGGCTGGTCTTGAACTCCTGACCTCAGGTGATACACCTGCCTCGGGCTCCCAAAGTGCTAGGATTACAGGCATGAGCCACTGTGCCCAGCCTTGACACATCTTAAGAAAAATTAACAACCTGGTTGCAGTAGCTGAAGCCTGTAATCCCAGAACTTTGAGAGGCTAAGGTGAGCAGATTACGAGGTCAGGAATTCAAGACCAGCCTGGCCAACATGGTGAAACCCCATCTCTACTGAAAAAACAAAACAAAACAAAAAAAACCCAAAAATTAGCTGGGCATGGTGGCACATGCCTGTAATCCCAGCTACTTGGGAGGCTGAGGCAGGAGAACTGCTTGAACCAGGACTCAGGAGGCGGAAGTTGCAGTGAGCCCAGATCCCACCACTGCACTCCAGCCTGGGCTACAGAGTGTCTTTAAAAAAAAAAAAAAAATTGGCCAGGCACGGTGACTCAAGCTTGTAATCCCAACACATTGGGAAGCTGAGCTGGGAGATGCCTTGAAGCCAGGAGTGTGAGACCAGCCCAGGCAACACAGGGAGATCCCCAACTCCACAAAAATTTAAAAATTAGCCAGATGCAGTGGAATGCACCTATAGTCCGAGCTACTGGGGAGGTTGAGGCGGGAGGATCTATGATTGTCCCACTGCACTCAAAACTGGGTGACAGTGCAATATTCTGTCCCTAAACAAGAAATGAAAAAGCAAAGTGCTGGGATTACAGGCATGAGCCACCACACCCTGCCTATAGATCTACTTCTAAAACCAAAATTGTTACAAAGTAGATAAACCTATATTCTTACCATTATTACTAACAAAATCTTCATGTAAAATAGGAAGATCAAGTCGAATTCGTTTTAAACATGTCTGAAAATAAAAAGAGATTATTTATTTTTACCTCTTTACCAATAATGTCATGGGGGGAAATAGTAATTTGCCATTAATTTTCCCTGTCTACCAAGAGAGATTTCAAAATGAAGATTTCAAACAGCAATCTAGCCTCAACTAAATCTTTTTTTTTTTTTTTGAGACGAAGTCTCACTCTTTCACCCAGTCTGGAGTGCAGTGGCACAAACTCAGCTCACTGTAGCCTCCACCTCCCATGCTCAAGCAATTCTCCTACCTCAGCCTCCCGAGTAGCTGGGACTACAGACATGCGCTGCTACGCCCGGCTAATTTTTGTATTTTAGTAGAGACAGGGTTTCACCATGTTAGCCAGGATGCTCTTGATCTCCTGATCTCATGATCCGCCCACCTCAGCCTCCCTAAGTGCTGGGATTACAGGCATGAGCCACCACGACCAGCCTAGCCTCAACTGAATCTATCTTATTATTTAGCATTGTGAATATTAATAGTCATCTCAACACTTACCTGAACTTCCTTTTTACTTCCCAGGTATTCAACTCTCTCAATAAAATCCTCAAACTGCAGTTTAGGGAATAGTCTATGTGCCCAGTGCTCCATGTGTCTGATTAGTGTCTTCAAGTCTTCAGCCTGGCACATAAAAATAAAAATGCTAAGCAGGAGTCTCATTCTCACAGCTTACCCTATGAGCAAGTTTCAGAACTGAAAAGCTTTGCCAAAATCACTGGGGTCGGGCCGGGCACGGTGGCTCAAGCCTATAATCCCAGCATTTTGGGAGGCCGAGGCGGGTAGATCATGAGGTCGAGAGATCGAGACCATCCTGGTCAACGTGGTGAAACCCCGTCTCTACTAAAAATACAAAAAATTAGCTGGGCATGGTGGCGCCTGCCTGTAGTCCCAGCTACTCAGGAGGCTGAGGCAGGAGAATTGCCTGAACCCAGGAGGCGGCGGTTGCAGTGAGCCGAGATCGTGCCATTGCACTCCAGCCTGGGTAGCAAGAGCGAAACTCCGTCTCAAAAAAAAAAAAAAAAAATCACTGGGGTCATTTTATATTCTTTTTTTTTTTTTCTGAGACGGAATTTCGCTCGTTACCCAGGCTGGAGTGCAATGGCACGGTCTCGGCTCACCGCAACCTCCGCCTCCTGGGTTCAGGCAATTCTCCTGCCACAGCCTCCTGAGTAGCTGGGATTACAGGCACGGGCCACCATGCCCAGCTAATTTTTTTTGTATTTTTAGTAAAGATGGGGTTTCACCACGTTGACCAGGATGGTCTCGATCCCTCGACCTCGTGATCCACCTGCCTCGGCCTCCCAAAGTGCTAGGATTACAGGCTTGAGCCACCGAGCCCGGCCATTTTATATTCTTAAGGTCGAAAAACTTATAAAAGGAAGTTTAATAAGAAAAATATTGGCCAGGCCGGGCGCGGTGGCGCAAGCCTGTAATCCCAGCACTTTGGGAGGCCTACGCGGACGGATCACTTGAGCTCAGGAGTTCAAGACCAGCCTGGGCAACGTGGTGAGACCCCTTACCTACCAAAAACACAAAACACATCCAGTCCTGGTGGTGCACGCCTGTGGACCCAGCTACTCAGGTGGCTGAGGTGGGAGGATTTTGAGCCTGGAAAGCAGTGGTTCCAATGAGACAAGTTCACACCACTGCACTCTAGCCTGACAGAGCGAGATCCTATCTCCCAGAAAAAAAAAAAGAGGGGGAGAGAAATTAAGATCTTAGAGGACTGCAGTCTGAAAGAGCACTGGATACAGATTTTTTTCTTTCTTTTGAGAGACAGTCTCACTCTGTCACCTAGGCTAAGTGCAAGGGCGCAATCTCGGTTTACTGCAATCTCTGCCTTCTGGGTTTAAGCGATTCTCCTCCCTCAGCCTCCTGAGGAGCTGGGATTAGAGGTGTATACCACCACTCCAGGCTAATTTTTTGTTTGTTTTGTTGTGAGGTAGAGTTTTGCTCTTGTTGCCCAGGATAGAGTGCAATGGTGCAATCTCAGCTCCCTGCAAACTCTGCCTCCCGGGTTTAAGCAATTCTCCTGCCTGAGCCTCCCAAGTGCCTGGGATTATAAGCATGCACCACCATGCCCTGGCTAATATTGTATTTTTTAGTAGAGACAGGGTTTCTCCATGTTGGTCAGGCGGGTCTCAAACTCCCAACCTCAGGTAATCCACCTGCCTCAGCCTCCCAAAGTGCTGGGATTACAGGGGTGAGCCACTGCACCTAGCCTAATTTTGTATTTTTTAGTAGAGATGGGGTTTTGCCATGTTTCCTGGCCTCAAGTGATGTGCCCTGGCCTCCCAAAGTGCTGGGACTACAGCAGGAGCCACGGCATCCAGCCTGGATAAAGATTCATAAAAATTAGATGAAGAGGCCGGGCGTGGTGGCTCAAGCCTATAATCCCAGCACTTTGGGAGGCCAAGGCGGGTGGATCACAAGGAAAAGAGATCGAGACCATCCCGGTCAACATGGTGAAACCCCGTCTCTACTAAAAATACAAAAATTAGTTGGGCATGGTGCATGGTGGCGCGTGCCTGTAATCTCAGCTACTCAGGAGGCTGAGGCAGGAGAATTGCCTGAACCTAGGAAGCGGAGGTTGCAGTGAGCCGAGATCACGCCACTGCACTCCAGCCTGGGTAACAAGAGTGAACACCGTCTCAAAAAAAAAAAAAAAAAAAAAAAATAGATGAAGAAAAATCCCAGTACGAAAATCTAATAAAGTTGGCGGGGCACAATAGCTGATACCTATAATCCCAGCACTTTGGGAGGCCAAGGCAGGTAGATGACCTAAGGTCAGGAGTTTGAGACCAGCCTGGCCAACATGGTGAAACCTAGTCTCTACTAAAAATACAAAAATTCGCTGGGCGTGGTGGCGGGTGCCTGTAATCCCAGCTACTTGGGAGGCTGAGACAGTAGAATTTCTTGAACCCAGGAGGCGGAGGTTGCAGTGAGCCAAGATGGAGCTATCGCACTCCAGCCTGGGTGACAAGAGTGAAACTCCCCTCTCAAACAAACAAACAAACAAACAAAGCCAGGCGTGGTGGCTCGCCCCTGTAATCCCAGCACTTTGGGAGGCAAAGTCGAGCAGATCACAAGGTCAGGATTCCGAAATCAGCCTGGCCAATATAATATGGTGAAACCCCCTCTCTACTAAAAATACAAAAATTAGCCAGCGTAGTGGTATACGCCTGTAATCCTAGCTACTTGGAAGGCTAAGGCAGAAGAATCGCTTGAACCTGGGAGGCAGAGGTTGCAGTGAGCTGAAATTGCACCACTGCACTCCAGCCTGGGCAACAGAGCAAGATTCCATCCCAAAAACAAACAGAAAACTTAATAAAGTTAAAAGATAATAATATGTGTATCTTTTCAGAAATATAATGTAAAACCCCAAACAAGCTTTAATAAAGTATGTCAAGATACCTTCTAGGGATAACTAAACACTGTGACAGGTCGCTAAATCATATGTACAGAAGAAAGCATTGAGAATTCAGAATTTAGGCCAGGCGTGGTGGCTCATGCCTATAATCCAAGCACTTTGGAGGCCAAGATGGGTGGATCACCTGAGGTCAGGAGTTCAAGACCAGCCTGACCAACATGGTGAAACCCCGTCTTAAAAAATAAATAAATAGGCCAGGCGCGGTGGCTCAAGCTTGTAATCCCAGCACTTTGGGAGGCCGAGGCGGGTGGATCACGAGGTCGAGAGATTGAGACCATCCTGGTCAACATGGTGAAACCCCATCTCTACTAAAAAAAAAAAATACAAAAAAATTAGCTGGGCATGGTGGCATGTGCCTGTAATCCCAGCTACTCAGGAGGCTGAGGCAGGAGAATTGCCTGAACCCAGGAGGCGGAGGTTGCGGTGAGCCGAGATCACGCCATTGCACCCCAGCCTGGGTAACAAGAGCGAAACTCCGTCTCAAAAAAATAAATAAATAAATAAATAAATAAATAATAAATTTAAAAAAAAAAGAGAGAGAATTCAGAACTTTAAGAACATATACAGCTGGGCACAGTGGCTTACACATGTAATCCCAACATTTTCGGAGGCCAAGACAGGAGGGTTGCTTGAGCTTAGGAGTTTAAGATTAGCCTGGGTATCATAGGAAGACCCCCATCTCTATTTTTAAAAAATTGTTGTTAATTAGGCAGGCATGTTGATGCATACCTGCGGTCCCAACTGCTTGGAAGCCAAGGCAGGAGAACTGTTTAAGCCCCAGAGTTCAAAGCTGCAGTGACCCATGATAGCACCACTGCACTCTAGTCTGGGTAACAGAGTAAGACCCTGTCTAAAAAAAAATTGTTTTTAAAAAAGTACATCCAGGGTCCGGGCGCGGTGGCTCATGCCTGTAATCCCAGCACTTTGGGAGGCCGAGGTGGGTGGATCACAAGGTCAAGAGATCGAGACCATCCTGGTCAACATGGTGAAACCCCGTCTCTACTAAACATACAAAAAATTAGCTGGGCATGGTGGCGCATGCCTGTAATCCCAGCTACTCAGGAGGCTGAGGCAGGAGAATTGCCTGAACCCAGGAGGCGGAGGTTGTGGTGAGCCAAGATCACGCCACTGCACTCCAGCCTGGGTAACAAGAGCGAAACTCCATCTCAAAAAAAAAAAAAAAAAAAAAACATATATATATATATATATATATATGTATACACACATTTAGTAGCCGGGCATGGTGGTGCATGCCTATAGTCACAGGTATTCAGAAGGCTGAGGTGGGGGGATCACTTGAGCCTAGAAGTTTGAGGGTAAAGTAAGCTATGATCATGCCACTGTACTCCAGCCTGATTGACAGCAAGACCCTCATTTCTTTTTTTTTTTTTTTTTTTGAGACAGAGTTTCGCTCTTGTTACCCAGGCTGGAGTGCAATGGCACAATCTCGGCTCACCGCAACCTCCGCCTCCTGGGTTCAGGCAATTCTCCTGCCTCAGCCTCCTGAGTAGTTGGGATTACAGGCACACGCCACCATGCCCAGCTAATTGTTTTTATTTTTAGTAGAGATAGGGTTTCACCATGTTGACCAGGATGGTCTCGATTTCTTGACCTTGTGATCCACCCGCCTCGGCCTCCCAAAGTGCTGGGATTACAGGCGTGAGCCACCGCGCCAGGCCAGCTTTTTTATTTTTTTTTAAGACAGGGTCTCACTCTCTCACCCAGACTGGAGTGCAGGGGACTGATCTCAGCTCACTGCAACCTCTGCCTCCCAGGCTCAAGGGATTCTTCTGTCTGAGCCTCCTGAGTATCTGAGATTACAGGCGCACGCCACTACTGCCTCATCAAGTTTTGTGTTTTTAGTACAGACAGGATTTCACCATGTTAGCCAGGCTGGTCTTGAACTCCTGACCTCAAATAATCCACCCGCCTCGACCTCCCAAAGTGCTGGGATTACAGATGTAAGCTACTGCACTCAGCCCAAGACCCCCATTTCTGTTGTTTTTTTTTTTTTTGAGACGGAGTTTCGCTCTTGTTATCCAGGCTGGAGTGCAATGGCGCAATCTCGGCTCACCGCAACCTCCGCCTCCTGGGTTCAGGCAATTCTCCTGCCTCAGCCTCCTGAGTAGCTGGGATTACAGGCACGCACCACCATGCCCAGCTAATTTTTTGTATTTTTAGTAGAGACGGGGTTTCACCATGTTGACCAGGATGGTCTCGATCTCTCGACCTCGTGATCCACCCGCCTCGGCCTCCCAAAGTGCTGGGATTACAGGCTTGAGCCACCGCGCCCGGCCCAAGACCCCCATTTCTAAAGAAAATTAATTTAAAAAAAAAGAATAGAGCCTGGGTATGGGGACTCACGTCTTTAATCCCAGCACTTTGGGAGGCCAAGGCAGGCAAATCACCTGAGGTCAGGAATTCAAGACCAGCCTGACCGACATGGTGAAACCCTGTCTCTACTGAAAATACAAAAATTAGCTGGTGTGGTGGGCACCTGTAGTACCAGCTACTTGGGAGGCTGAGGCAGTAGAATCACTTGAACCCAGGAGGTAGAGGTTGCGGTAAGCCAAAAATTGCACCACTGCACTCAAGCCTGGGCGACAAGAGCAAGACTCTGTCTTTTTTTTTTTTGAGACGGAGTTTCGCTCTTGTTACCCAGGCTGGAGTGCAATGGCGCGATCTCGGCTCACCGCAACCTCCGCCTCCTGGGTTCAGGCAATTCTCCCGCCTCAGCCTCCTGAGTAGCTGGGATTACAGGCATGCACCACGATGCCCAGCTGATTTTTTGTATTCTTAGTACAGAGGGGGTCTTGATCTCTTGACCTTGTGATCCACCCGCCTCGGCCTCCCAAAGTGCTGGGATTACAGGCTTGAGCCACCGCGCCCGGCCAAGACTCTCTCTTAAAAAAAAAACAAAACACACATCCAGAAACCCCAAGGGCAAAGTGTCAAAGATGAGCAAGAACAGTTTAAACAATCTCAAAACATAATACCTCTCCATATTTGAAATTCCAATTAAGATTTTTGAACAGGCCGGGTGTGGTGGCTCATGCCTATAATCCTAGCACTTTGGGAGGCCGAGGTGGGTCGATCACCTGAGGTCAAGAGTTCAAGACTAGCCTGGCCATCATGGAGAAAAACCCCATCTTTAAAAAAAAAAAAAAAGTTTTGAACAAAAATGAAAAACAAATAAAAAGTTGACAAATGAATTTTTAAGGAGTTATAAATTCCTGGTTTTACTGTAGTAAACTTTATTCTAGCCAGGAGTAGTGGATTACACCTGTAATTCCAGTACTTTAGGAGGCCGAGCCAGGAAGATCACAAGGTCAGGAGTTCAAGACCACCCTGACCAAGATGGTAAAACCCTGTCTCTACTAAAAATATACAAAAAAATCAGCTGAGTGTGGTGCGAGATGCCTATAATCCCAGCTCTGAAGAGGCTGAGGCAGGAGAATCACTTATACCCGGGAGGCAGAGGTTGCAGTGAGACAAGGTTATGCCACTGCACTCCAGCCTGGGCGTTAAGAGCAAGACTCCACAGCAAAAAACAAACAAACTTCATTCTTCACTAACATTATTTTAAAATAGGAGAAGAGCTGGGCATGGTGGTTCATGCCTATAATCCCAGCAATTTCAGAGGCCGAGGCAGGAGGATCTCTTGAGGTGAAAAGTTGGAAACCAGCCTAGGCAACATAGTGAAAACTCATCTCTACAAAAAAAAAAAAAAAAAAAAAATTTAAGTTAGCTTGGCATGATAGTACACACCTGTGGTCCTGGCTACTTGGGAGGCTGAAGTGGAAGGATGGCTTGAGCCCAGGAGTTCAAAGTTGCAGTGAGCTATGATGGCACCACTGCACTCCAGCTTGGGTGACAGAGTGAGACTCAGTCTTAAAAAAAATAAAAAATTCTGGCTGGGTGCGGTGGCTCAAGCCTGTAATCCCAGCACTTTGGGAGGCCGAGGCGGGTGGATCACGAGGTCGAGAGATCGAGACCATCCTGGTCAACATGGTGAAACCCCCGTCTCGACTAAAAATACAAAAAATTAGCTGGGCATGGTGGCTCGTGCCTGTAATCACAGCTACTCAGGAGGCTGAGGCAGGAGAATTGCCTGAACCCAGGAGGCGAAGGTTGCAGTGAGCCGAGATCGCGCCATTGCACTCCAGCCTGGGTAACAAGAGCAAAACTCCATCTCAAAAAATAAAATAAAAATAAAATAAAAAATAGCAGCCAGGAGCAGTGGCTCATACCTATAATCCTAGCACTTTCGGAGGCCAAGGAGGGCAGATCACGAGGTCAGGAGTTCCAGACCAGCCTGGCCAACATGGTAAAACTCTTTATCTACTAAAGATACAAAAATTATCCGGGCATGGTGGCGCACACCTGTAATACCAGCTACTCAGGAGGATGGGGCAGGAGAACTGCTTGAACCCGGAAGGCAGAGGTTGCAGTGAGCCAAGATCGCGCCACTGCACTCCAGGCTGGGCAACAGAGCGATACTCTGTCTCAAATAAATAAATAAACAACAGGCTCTGGATCAGATTGCATAAATTACAATTACAATTCCACTACTCAATGCCTGTGTGACTTTGAACAAATCACTTTATTTCTTCATGTGTAAAACGAGAACAAAATATACATATTTCATAAAGTTATTATTATAATGAATACAAGTGCCTGACACAAAGTTGGCTATATCAAGACAATCAATCCTTTTTTCTTTTTTTTGTAGAGACAGGGTCTTGCTATGTTGCCCAGGCTGGTCTCCAACGCCAGGCTTCAAGCAATCCTACCATCTTGTCCTCCCAAAGTGCTAGGATTATAGGCATGAGCCACTACACCTGGCCAAGACAATCAATCCTACCAATGACTAAACACGTAATACTGAGAATAAAATGTCTTCTCATTCTACCCTTCTGATAATAAAAGCAAAGTTCTTTTAAAAACTCAATCACATGAGACCATTTTCCAGTTGCTGGGAGTCGCAGGTCAACCACCTAACAATGTCTTATCACACCCAAGGGACACAAGAAGAGAAAAATCTATATACAGTTAAGTCTTCCGTCATATATGGAGAAAAAAACAATAAGGATTCAACATTGTGAGAAAACAGTAATAATACTCAGAGGAAAAGTACAGAAGACTAAACTCTCTGAGAGCCCGCCATCACACACTGAAGAAAGACAAAATGCACGGTCGGGAGCAGTAGCTCACGCCTGTAATTCCAGCACTTTAGGAGGCCGAGGTGGGCGTATCACCTGAGGTCAGGAGTTCAAGAGCAGCCTGGCCATCATGGTGAAACCCCATCTCTACTAAAAAAGATGAAAAACAGCTGCGCATAGTGGCGGGCGCCTATAAACCCAGATACCAGGGAGGCTGAGGCAGGAGAATCACTTGAACCTGGGAGGCAGAGGTTGCAGTGAGCTGAGATCATGCCACTGGACTCCAGCCTGGTTAACAGAGTGAGACTCCGTCTCGAAACAAAAAATAAATCAATAATAAATAATTTTAAAAATTCAAAAAAAACTCTTGACACTTCCTTCTCCCCACTGCATAGCAACACAGGAGCAACACCCACACCACAGGTTGAAAACTAAAGAATATATATGAAACACTTGAAGAACTACAAAACTCTTTAAAAATATATTATCATCTGATAAAAATTACACCTACACACCTACATAATTCAAAAATAGATTTCAAAATGTGTTTGCACAGTTATTAAATGTATTCATTTTTCAATACTTTACTGATACCTATTATGAACCAGGTACTGTGCCACATCTTGGGGATATATAAGTGATCAATAAAGGCAGAGTCCTTGCCCTCAACAAATTTAAAATCTTTGAGGGAGACAAAATAAGTTTCAATCCTCTAAATTATAAAGTAAAAACTGAGACTTAGAGACACAGGTGTGATTTTCCTATAGCCAAGATTTAAGCAGCAAAAAAACGAGACTAGCCGGGCGTGGTGGCTCACGCCTGTAATCCCAGCACTTTGGGAGGCCAAGGCGGGTGGATCACGAGGTCGACAGATCGAGACCATCCTGGTCAACATGGTGAAACCCCGTCTCTACTAAAAATACAAAAAATTAGCTGGGCATGGTGGCATGTGCCTGTAATCCCAGCTACTCAGGAGGCTGAGGCAGGAGAATTGCCTGAACCCAGGAGGCGGCGGTTGCGGTGAGCTGAGATCGCGCCATTGCGCTCCAGCCTGGGTAACAAGAGTGAAACTCCATCTCAGAAAAAAAAAAGAGACTACACAAGACATGATTTCTAATTCTTCAAACAGTTCTCTTTCTGGTACATCACAGTCTCATGAAATACAATGAATGATTGGCCGGGCGCAGTGGCTCACACCTGTAATCCTAGCACTTTGGGATGCCGAGGTAGGTGAATCACCTGAGGTGAGGAGTTCAAGACCAGCCTGGCCATCATGGTGAAACCCCATCTTTAAAAATAAATAAATAAATAAATAAATAAATACAATGATTAAGAATAGTATCTTAAAGCCTTCTGAGAGTTCCAAGAACATGATAATGGGTCTACATTTTTATTGCTATTTTAAAAAACAAAGGTCTAACATAAAAATCAGACAGTTCTTACCTCATGACCTTTACCTTTGAATTTTGCCTTATCAAATACATGCCTTAAGGCTGGAAGTCCTCTCTCTGAAATTAATCTGTGAATAAAAATATATTTTTAATTTCAAGTTTTCTAGAGTTTGGTCTAAACGAAGACCATAAGAGAAAATATATTCTGCTGAACTAAAAAAAAAATTTTTAGAAATATAAGAACTCAGCCAAGCACGGTGGCTCATGCCTGTAATCCTAGCACTCTTGAGAGGCCAAGGCAGGCAGATCATGAGGTCAGGTGTTCGAAACCATGCTGGCCAACATGGTGAAACCTCGTCTCTACTAAAAATACAAAACTTAGCCGAGTGTGGTGGCACGTGCCTGTAATCCCAGCTTCTCAGGAGGCTGAGGCAGGAGAATCGCTTGAACCTGCAAGGCAGAGGTTATAGTGACCCGAGATTGCACCAGTGCACTCCAGCCTGGACGACTCCACATCATACCAACCAAAAGTTTATAACATTAGAAGAAAAACAATGGATGTTAAAAATAAAAAGTATAGCCGGGCGCAGTGGCTCAAGCCCGTAATCCCAGCACTTTGGGAGGCCAAGGTGGGTGGATCACGAGGTCAAGACATCGAGACCATCCTGGTCAACATGGTGAAACCCCATCTCTACTAAAAATACAAAAAATTAGCTGGGCATGGTGGCACGTGCCTGTAATCCGAGCTACTCAGGAAGCTGAGGCAGGAGAATTGCCTGAACCCAGGAGGCGGAGGTTGCAGTGAGCCGAGATCGCGCCATTGCACTCCAGCCTGGGTAACGAGAGCAAAAACTCCGTCTCAAAAAAATAAATAAATAAATAAATAAATAAATAAAAAGTATAAATGTATAAGAATATACTAAATGTACCTCTGAGCATCCAACTTGGGTATATTTCTTTTAACTGTTCTCTTTGGAGGTACAGGAACAGGTGCTCCACTTCCTGACTCTAGTAAAACATACCAAGATCAGTATTACTGTACTTAAAAGAATTTGTATTATTGGCTCATGCCTGTAATCCTAGCACTTTGGGAGGCCGAGGTGGGTGGCTCACCTGACGTCAAGAGTTCAAGACCAGCCTGGCCACCATGGTGAAACACCATCTTTATTAAAGAAAAAAAAAAAAAAAAGGAATTTGTATTATTTATTATCATTTCCAAGCTAATAAGATAACTAAACATGTAACACCTGTTTCTGAAACAGGGTCTCACTCTGTTGTCCACGCTGGAGTGCAGTGGTGTGATCTTGGCTCACTGCAGCCTCAAACTTCTGGGCTCAAGTGATTCTCCTGCTTCAGCATTTTAAGTAGCTAGAACTACAGGCACAGCCTACTACACCCAGCTAATTTCAAAATCTTCAGTAGAGACGAGGTCTTGCTATGTTGCCCAGGCTGGTCTCAAACTCCTGGGATCAAGCCATCCCTCTGCCTCAGCCTCCCAAAGTGGTGGGACTACAGGCAGGAGCCACTGTGCCCAGCCTCCCTTTTTTCATTTTTATCTCCTCAAATACCTTTTATTTTTATTTTTATTTTTTTTTTTGAGACGGAGTTTCACTCTTGTTACCCAGGCTGGAGTGCAATGGCGCGATCTCGGCTCACCGCAATCTCGGCTCACCGCAATCTCCACCTCCTGGGTTCAGGCAATTCTCCTGCCTCAGCCTCCTGAGTAGCTGGGATTATAGGCACGCGCCACCAGGCCCAGCTAATTTTTTGTATTTTTAGTAGAGACGGGGTTTCACCATGTTGACCAGGTTGGTCTCGATCTCTTGACCTTGTGATCCACCCGCCTTGGCCTCCCAAAGTGCTGGGATTACAGGCTTGAGCCACCGCGACCGGCCTCCTCAAATACCTTTTACCACAGCCTCCTTTTTGTTGTTGTTTTTTATTTATTTATTTATTTATTTATTCATTTACACAGCCTCCTTTTTAAAACTCTTTATACATACCTTCATCGGGCTCAGCTCCTTCACCATCTTGTCTCTCTGGAGAGGCTGGAGGCGGGAAAGGAGGAAAAATTTCATCTTCTACATGCTCATAATCTGGTACATCAATCAATCCATTCTCCTCTGGTTCTAGCATCTTTTCCTCTAGGGGAAAAAATGTAAAATTATTTGTATTCATCCAGATAGTCTTTCCACTACACAGACAAGTTCCACCCGCAGCAATTTCATGTGTTTCAATCAATTAAACCACATTTCAAACTCACACATCATGAAAAGTAGAGAAGACACTAATTATTTTAAAAAAGGACTAGCCTAGAAATCAGAACTAAGCTCCAACGTAGACCCTAACATTAAATAACGCTATCAGGCCGGGCGCGGTGGCTCAAGCCTGTAATCCCAGCACTTTGGGAGGCCGAGGCGGGTGGATCACGAGGTCGAGAGATCGAGACCATCCTGGTCAACATGGTGAAACCCCGTCTCTACTAAAAATACAAAAAAATTAGCTGGGCATGGTGGTGCGTGCCTGTAATCGCAGCTACACAGGAGGCTGAGGCAGGAGAATTGCCTGAACCCGGGAGGCGGAGGTTGCGGTGAGCCAAGATCACGCCATTGCACTCCAGCCTCGGTAACAAGAGCGAAACTCCGTCTCAAAAAAAAAAATAAATAAATGCCGGGCGCGGTGGCTCAAGCCTGTAATCCCAGCACTTTGGGAGGCCGAGGCGGGTGGATCACGAGGTCGAAAGATCGAGACCATCCTGGTCAACATGGTGAAACCCCGTCTCTACTAAAAATACAAAAAAAACTAGCTGGGCGTGGTGGTGCATGCCTGTAATCCCAGCTACTTAGGAGGCTGAGGCAGGAGAATTGCCTGAGCCCAGGAGGCCTAGGTTGCGGTGAGCCGAGATCGCGCCATTGCACTCCAGCCTGGGTAACAAGAGCGAAACTCCGTCTCAAAAAATAAATAAATAAATAAATAAATAAATAACGCTATCATATTGAACAAATCCTTTTACCTCAACTATTGAGTTTCCCCCTACCATAAAAAGATGAATTTGACTTTTCAGAAGGTTTCAAACTGTGATCCAATAAATAGGATATGAAATACACAGGATATAGGTACTCCGCCCCCACTTCAACTAGAGCAACTAAAAAAAAAAATCTGTTTATATACACCTACTATGTGCCCACAAAAATTAAAAGCAAAAAAAAAAAATTTTTTTTAATGTGTTTACATACTGGTCTTCTAGGTAAGGTTTCCTTTAAAGAATGGCCGGGAACGGTGGCTCATGCCTGTAATCCCAGCACTTTCGGAGGCTGAGGTGGGCGGATCTCAAGGTGAGGAGATCAAGATCATCCTGGCTAACATGGTGAAACCCCACCTCTACTAAAAATACAAAAAAAATAAATAAATAACCGATTATGGTGGCAGACGCCTGTAGTCCCAGCTACTCAGGAGACTGAGACAGGAGAATCACTTGAACCTGGGAGTCAGAGGTTGCAGTGAGCCGAGATCCCGCCATTGTACTCCAGCCTGAGCAACAGAGCAAGACTCCCTCTCACAAAAAAAGAAAAAAGAAAAGCATCAATTCCTGATCACGACCCAGCTTAGCTTCAAGTAAACTACAGGAATCTACAGCGGAGTTCAGACCTTTGAGGCTGACAGCGAGCTTTGAGTTTGATGGCAGTGCCCAAACTATATCAAGTGTACCCAGAAACTGGCCAAGCATGGGGTGGGGCTTATCAGGAAACTGGCATTTCTTCTATTTGTAGTGAACAAGATGCCCAATACACGACTTTTATCTCCTCGTCAATGGTCGCACAACTGTCTCTTTTTAGACACTGATGAAATTGCCCCAACTTCCTCCTCTACTCCTCAAACTCCCAGAGGAGTGAAGGTAACAAATATACGGTGCAAACCACGGTTTGTTTCCAGACCCTGGTTTCCAACGTCCACCTCTTTCCAAGAAGTCGAAAGAGACGCCCCTCATCGCAACGGAAGTCGCACCGTGCTGCCTCGATGTCCCCCTTGGGTTCCACCTTCGAAACGTCGAACCTCCCATACCGCTTTCTCCAGCGTCCCCTCATCCTCGCTCCCCGTCTATCCTCCCTTCAACCTCATTCATTCATCCACATTCGCTGGGGGCTTCCTACGTTTACAGGCCCCGTACAGAAGCCGGGAGTAAAGACGATAAGGAACACGTTCTCTCCCGCTACGCGGCTTGGCCGAGTAAGAGGCAGCCCAAAACCCCAGCAGCCGAGACCCGCGCCCGCGTCCGCGCCTCTCCAGGCCTAGTCAGGTCGATCCCGCAGCCTCCTGACCCCGTTACGGCGACAACTAGCTTTTCCCTCTCGTCCGTCTGCCTCCCTGGCTCGTCCAGCTGACTCCCCTCTCCCAGCAGGAACTTCACTGACCTGCCAGCCAGCTCTCACCACACCCAGAAGACAAGCGCCACAGCGCGGATCCCCGCGTGCAAACTAAGCGCGCCTTCTCGCGAGACTCAGGAATTCCAGGGGCGAGAAGAGCGCGCGGCGTTTGGCGCCAAATCTTAGCGCGAGTCGGGCGGGGCCTACAAGGCCGGCCTCTCAGTCCCGCCCCCCACGCCGGGCCTGCCCCCGGTCCCGCAGCTTCCGCCCTACCGAATTCTTCAGAGGAACTCTATTAAGCTTCCTTATTTGCATAAAGCTAATACTTATTCTAGGCTTTTTCTTTTTTTTTTTTTTTTCTTTTTGCGATGGAGTTTCGCTCTTGTTACCCAGGCTGGAGTGCAATGGCGCGATCTCGGCTCACCGCAACCTCCGCCTCCCGGGTTCAGGCAATTCTCCTGCCTCAGCCTCCTGAGTAGCTGGGATTACAGGCACGCGCCACCATGCCCAGCTAATTTTTTCTATATTTAGTAGAGACGGGGTTTCACTATGTTGGCCAGAATGGTCTCCAGCTCTTGACCTCGTGATCCGCCCGCCTCGGCCTCCCAAAGTGCTGGGATTACAGGCTTGAGCCACCGCGCCCGGCCTCTTTTTTTTTTTTTAAAGACGGGGTTTCACTACGTTGGTCAGGCTGGTCTTGAACCCCTGACCTCAGGTGATCCGCCCACCTCAGCCTCCCAGAGTGCTGGGATTACAGGCGTGAGCCACCGCGCCCGGCCTTTTTTTTTTTTTTTTTTTTTTTTTTCTTGAGACAAGGTCTCTGTATCACTCCTCAGGCTGGAGAGCAGTAGCGCGATCTCGGCTCACTGCCTTCTCGACCCTCCGGGCTGAAACCATCCTCCCACCTCAGCCTACCTTCACCCACTACCACCACCGCACCCAGCTAATTTTTGCTTTAATGGTTTTTTTTGTTTGTTTGTTTGTTCCTTTGGCAGAGAATGGGGTTTAGCTGCCCAGGCTGGCTTCAAACTCCCGGTCGCAAGCGATCCCCGGCATCAGTTTCCCAAAGTGCGGGGATTGCAGGCATGAGGCACCGCACCCAGCACTTTAAACCTTGGAAACAGGTCTCAGTTTTTGGAAAACAGTTGTGGGAGGAGGGAAAAGGACAGAGGCAAGCAGTAGTGAATGACAAACTACCGCTTCTTCAGTGGTCCTAGCAGAATGCCTCCAACTCAGAGTTTTGTGAATTGTTTATTGAATAAGAAGCTGAGAAAAGAGGCGGTAAAGAGAGGAGAAACAGGGTTAAGAGTGTATGGCCGGGCGCGGTGGCTCACGCCTGTAATCCCAGCACTTTGGGAGGCCGAGGTGGGTGGATCACGAGGTCAAGAAATCAAGACCATCCTGGTCAACATGGTGAAACCCCGTCTCTACTAAAAATATAAAACATTAGCTGGGCATGGTGGCGCGTGCCTGTAATCCCAGCTACTCAGGAGGCTGAGGCAGGAGAATTGCCTGAACCCAGGAGGTGGAGGTTGCGGTGAGCCGAGATCGCACCATTGCACTCCAACCTGGGAAACAAGAGCGAAACTCCGTCTCAAAAAAAGAAAAGGAGTGTAGACACTGGCCAGGCGTGGTGTGGCTCATGCCTGTAATCCCAGCACTTTGGAAGGACCAGGCCGGCAAATCGCTTGAGCCCACGAGTTCATCGCACCGCTGCACTCGAGCCTGGGCCACAGACTGAGACCCTCTATCAAAAAGAGAGAATGTGAGTATAGACAAAAAGAAAAATGTCAAAACTATGTTACTTGGTCAGACTTGGTGGCTCATGTCTGTAATCTCAGCACTTTGAAGGAGGCTGAGGCAGGAGGATTGCTTGAGCCCAGGAATTCAAAACAAGCCTGGGCAACATACTGAGACCTTGTCTCTATTAAAAAAGAAAAAAACATTTTCTAAAACTTACTGTTTCCATTTTAAAATAGTAAGTCCAAATATATTTGTATTTGTATACACACAAACATAAACAGGCAACCACTGAAAAGCATATAACGAGAACCTATGCAATGAAAGTGGCATATGGGACAGAGTGGGATGGGAACTTAACTACAATTTTTTTGAACATACAAATGTATTAACTATTCAAAAAACTAAATGTAAAAATGTTATTTGAAATAAATATACCATCATTAAGATTTGGCAAACCTAGAAGATAATTAGGGAGTACTGGCTGCAGTATTCTCTCCACTTTTCTTTCTCTCTTTTTCTTCTTTGACACAGTCTTACTTTGTTGCTGAGGCTGGAATCATGTGATCCTTCCTCCTCCCAGGTAGCTGGAACTACAGGCTCGCACCACCACAGTTAGCTAATTTTTAAAATTTTTTTGTGCAGAGCGAAGTTTCACCATGTTGTCCAGGCTGCTTTCCAACGCCTGGGCTCCAGCGATCCACCCCCCTTAGGCTCCAGCAATCCACCTCCCTACAGGCATGAGCCACCGCACCCAGCTACTTTTCTGTAGCTTGAAACATTTTTTTTAAATTTTATTTATTTATTTATTTTTATTTATTTATTTTTTTTTTTGAGACGGAGTTTCGCTCTTGTTACCCAGGCTGGAGTGCAATGGCGCAATCTCGGCTCACCACAACCTCCGCCTCCTGGGTTCAGGCAATTCTCCTGCCTGAGCTTCCTGAGTAGCTCGGATTACAGGCATGCGCCACCATGCCCAGCTTATTTTTTGTGTTTTTAGTAGAGACGGGGTTTCACCATGTTGACCAGGATGGTCTCGATCTCTTGACCTTGTGATCCACCCGCCTCGGCCTCCCAAAGTGCTGGGATTACAGGCTTGAGGCACCGCGCCCGACCCTAATTTTATTTATTTTTAGGCGGAGTTTCACTCTTGTTACCCAGGCTGGAGTGCAATGGCACGATCTCGGCTCACCGCAACCTCCGCCTCCTGGGTTCAAGCAATTCTCCTGCCTCAGCCTCCTGAGTAGCTGGGATTACAGGCACGCGCCACCATGCCCAGCTAATTTTTTCTATATTTAGTAGAGACGGGGTTTCACTATGTTGACCAGAATGGTCTCCAGCTCTTGACCTCGTGATCCGCCCGCCTCGGCCTCCCAAAGTGCTGGGATTACAGGTGTGAGCCACCGTGCCCGGCCCTAAAAAAAATTTTTTTTTTTTTTTTTTTTTTGAGACGGAGTTTCGCTCTTGTTACCCAGGCTGGAGTGCAATGGCACGATCTCGGCTCACCGCAACCTCCGCCTCCTGGGTTCAAGCAATTCTCCTGCCTCAGCCTCCTGAGTAGCTGGGATTACAGGCACGTGCCACCATGCCCAGCTAATGTTTTGTATTTTTAGTAGAGACGGGGTTTCACCATGTTGACCATGATGGCCTCGATCTCTCGACCTCGTGATCCACCCGCCTCGGCCTCCCAAAGTGCTGGGATTACAGGCTTGAGCCACCGCGCCCGGCCTTTTTTTTTTTTTTTTTGAGATGGAGTTTCGCTCTTGTTACCCAGGCTGGAGTGCAATGGCGAAATCTCGGCTCACCGCAACCTCCACCTCCTGGGTTCAGGCAATTCTCCTGCCTCAGCCTCCTGAGTAGCTGGGATTACAGGCACGCACCACCATGCCCAGCTAATTTTTTTGTGTTTTTAGTAGAGACGGGGTTTCACCATGTTGACCAGGATGGTCTCGATCTCTTGACCTCGTGATCCATCCACCCGCCTCGGCCTCCCAAAGTGCTGGGATTACAGGCTTGAGCCACCGCGCCCGGCAAAAAAAATTTTTTTAAAAAGAATTGAGTCCCAGATGTCAATCGAGGCTGCAGTGAGCCGTGATCCAGCATGGGTAACACAGTGAGACCCTGTCTCAAAACACATAGACACCACACACACACAGAGTGAGACCCTGTCTCAAAACACACATACACACACACACACACACACACACACACACAGATTACCAATTCTATCTGCCTAAAATTATGTATGCATGTGTATCTACGTGTCATATTTCCTTTATTTTAGGGTTTTATTTCTATACTTGTGGGATAATGTATATTAATCAATTAATAAAATTAACATAAATTTGGGTTTTGTTTTTTTTTTTTTTTTTTTGAAACAGTCTTGTTCTGTCGCCCAGGCTGGAGTGCAATGGTGAAATCTTGGCTCACTGAAGCCTCAATCTCCTGAGTTCAAAAAATTCTGCCTCAGCCACTCAAACAGCGGGGATTATAGGCATGTACCACCATGCCCAGCTAATTTTTGTATTTTTAGTAGAGGTGGGGTTTCACCATGTTGGCCAGGCTGGTCTCCAACGGAGGGACCTCAAGTGATCCATCTGCCTCAGCCTCCCATAGTGCTGGGATTACCTGTATTGGTCACTGCACCAGGCCTAAAAGCAATGTGAACTTCAATGAGAAATGTCCATTTCAGTAGTCTGAATTGTTGAGACAATAGGCATTCTTTTAATTATCTAGGTAAGTTTATATTCTAAACTCTTTGACTAATAAAGTAAATGTAAAAGCACTCTGAGAAGTTAAAAAATGTTATACATCTTTCCCACACCACCCCCACCCTGCCAAAAACAAACAGAGCAGATACTCTGGAAGGTATAAATCTCAGTTCCATCATTTACTGGTTGGTGACTTTTAACTCTGCTTCAGTTTCCTTTTGTTATTTTGTTTTTTGGTCACCTGGGTTGGAGTGCATTGACACAATCATAGCTCACTGTAACCAGGTGATCTTCCCAGCTAGGCCTCCCAAAGTGCTGGGATTATAGGCATGAGCCACCCCACCTGATCTAGTTTCCTCGTAGGGTTGTGAGGAGAAGTAAAAAATAGTATTTAATGGCATGTTCCTGTAGTATCTCAGCTACTTCAGAGTCTGAGGCAGGAGGATTACTTGAGCCAAGGAGTTCAAGGCCAGCCTGGGCAACATAGGGACACCGTATTCCTAACAAATGAAATAAATGTAAAAGACAGTGCATTTCCTATAATTATCCGTATGATTTTTAGAATGTTTCAACCTTGGCCGGGCGCGGTGGCTCACACCTATAATCCCAGCACTTTGGGAGGCCGAGGCAGGTGGATCACGAGGTCAAAAAATCA